ATGTATTATTGTATACCGGCCTCGGTGGTGTAGTGGTCAGAGCTCCTAGGTACGAGCCGAGAGGTCGTGGGTTCGAATCCCACTTGGGTATGGTTGTTTATTTGTGTTTGTCCATTGGGTATAGTCCTTCGGAGGGGACTTTAAGCCGTCGGTCCGTTCCTACCCCTAACCCGCACAAGCCATTCAGTTGGCTTATGGGACATCTTAGTTTGGATGTAAGGGTGGAACTAAAAGAGCACTTTATAGAGAAATGCCAAAGTAACAAAAAAATAACTTAATTTTTTTATTTGTGTAGTTTTCCCAACAAATACCACTCGAGGTTCGATTGAGCAGGACATTTTTTTGACTTTTGACATTTTTTTTACTTTACCGAGTGGGATTGAACCAAAGACTTTAATTTAAATTAAATTCCGGAAAAATCCGAAAACCGAAACTGCGAGGGTAAATGACATTTTAATTACGACAATGGCTGGCTCAAGCTAAATTTATAAAGAGGAAGTAAAAAAGAAAATTTAAAAGAAAAATCAAGACAGTAGAAAGAAAAATATTCTTTTATGTCTGTGATTTCTTCCAAAGAATTTTTGTTTTACATATTTTTCTTCTATTTACCTATATTGATTATTTCAAAATAAAGTTTTTTATTAAGACTTGTTCTAAATTTACTTGTATTTTTAGCGTGCAAAAATAGATCTCAAGCTATTGTACCATACGTATTCTACTGTTTTAGTATATTTGATATAAGAATATCATACCACATCTACTTTTTACACTCTCAAACAAGAAAATTCAGTATACAAAAAGTATCGGGTGTCACACGGCTTTTATAAATATAAAAGCAACATTTACAACAACATTGTTAAAATAAATATGCAATGAACTGTAAATATTAATTAGCATATTCCGCTCGAGTGAAGAGTTTGTCACACGAGCCGAAGGCGAGTTTGACGGTTTCACGAGAGCGGAATTTGCAATTCCAAACGTGTTTCAGACTATAATTTTTCTACGTTTCCAAAAAAATAACAGAAAAATAATTTAATTGGAAGAAAGTGAGGTTGGATCCGTCTAAAATTTGTTAGATATTAAAAACAGAGATGTCGCCACGAGTGTTCATTCTGTCATCCGATGATAAAATATTTCATTTTGTAACACTTTACGGAATATATGTCATTCCATAGATAAAAGTGATATTAGAACGGTCAAATTCCGTAATAGGAGTAGAAAAATATTTTTTTGTGTTATGCGGGAATGTGTGACTTCAAATTATGACGTTACTCGGGATCGTATATAAGGCTACAGTGTAAAAACCATACGTACTATCGCTAACAAAAAACTAAAACCGCTATATTTTCGCTGTGTGAATATAACTTTTCCGTCAATGTTAAGGTGACATCGAGCTTTGTCACATCCATTAGTCATGCCTCGTTTAACTGTAGCCGAAAAACATACAATTATTGTTCATCTGAAATAAGGTACTTCAGTAAGACAAGTGGCGATGATGTTTAATATTTACAAAATGACGGTAATGACAGTAAAGCGGCAATGGACGGAACATGGAAACTTCGAGAGAAGAGCTGGATCCGGAAGGCCAAGAGTCTCCACAGACGCCCAAGACCAGGCACTAATCCACCATCTTCGCCAGGATACTTTCAGTACGGCACGGAAAGCGATTGATAAAACTGTGTTTCCCGGCTGCTCGATGACTGCGAGTCGTAGAATCAAAGAGTCAGAACTGCACTGCAAGGTGGCTGCCAGAAAGATTTTTCTAACAGATTTAAGGAAGCAGGCTCTGTTCTCCTTAAATCATATTTATCGAAAATTTGACTTCTGGAAACGGGTGATTTTTACCGATGAAAAGACATTCCAATCGAACCATAATGGCCCAATAAAAGTATACCGACCGGCCAATATGAAATTTGATGAGGAATACTTGAAACGAACAAGTCCCTCTGGACGTTTTTCTGCCAATGTTTGGGGATGGATTATAATCCACTATAGTGCTCAAGGCATGGGATCCGAGGAAGATTCAATGCATTGAATTATGTCAATGTTGCCTACTATTGAGACCTGTACCCCGAAAATCAATTTATTTTCCAACAGGACAATTCTGCCGTGCTAAGATGAAAGGTCCTATCTACAAAATTTTGTAATAAAGGACATGGGTCAGAATTTCTCAAACGGGCCACCTGAATTAGGTCAAAATTAGTTTTTGTTTGTAGATACATTTTTTTGATAGTATTTTACATCACTAACGCAAATCCTAAAGGATTTTGTAAAAAAAAAATTTTCAATTGATATATTCAAGATATTAAAAGTCAAAGTTTTTAATAATTAAAAAATAAAAAAATTCATTATGGCTGAACTAATTATCCGATTCCAACGATATAACTAGCGTTGGAATCTTGTTTTGACATAGATTCTTTGTTATTTTTTTTAATTGTCCTATTTTCATTTAGGTCGATTTTTTTTTGTTTTTTTTTATACCAAATTCGGAAATAATTGCCTTCTGCGCCAGCTATCGACTCGAGAAAAAAAACACATATACACCAATCATTTCTCGAAATTATGCTGCTGAGAAAAAAAATGGCCCGCAGGTTGACAAAAAGTTATTCGTCCTTTTGTGGCCGCGCGCGGTGTCAGCTCACGCTCCGAACCGTGTACGCTGTACGCGCTTGTGACGCGACGTCTTACGGTGGTCTGGAACCTGCGGGCCATTTTTTTTCTCAGCAGCATAATTTCGAAAAATGATTGGAGTATATGTGTTTTTTTTTTCGAGTCGATAGCTGGCGCAGAAGCCAATTATTTCCGAATTTGTTATAAAAAAAACAAAAAAAAATCGACCTAAATGAAAATTTTACAATTGAAAAAAATAACAAAGAATCTATGTCAAAACAAGATTCCAACGCTAGTTAAATCGTTGGAATCGGATAATTAGTTTAGCCATAATGATTTTTTTTTATTTTTTAATTACTAAAAACTTTTACTTTTAATATCATGAATATCACGGTGCTGTTCTGAGAGGTGATTTTTGGACTTTCTGTGAAACCTAATTTTTTTTTATATTCTTGTTAATTAGGTCATAACTAAAATTTTAAGAGCAAAATAAAAAAAATTTGACGGTTTGAATTGTTTTAATTGGCTGTTTATTAAAAATATTATGCACTCTTTCAATTATCCAATTAAAACTAGTGATTTAATTTAAATATTATCATAACTTTTTAAATCAGATTAAAGATTAGTTAATTTCCTAAAAAAGGTCTTTTACTGTTTTGTTGTAATACACGTTTAAAGTTTTAATTTAAGGTTAAATGTATAGTATACATTTATTAAATAATAATTCTAAGGGTGCCACATTTTATTTAGGGCCGATTTATTCATTTTTGATTTATTTGACGAATAATTTCTTTGGATACTAGATATTGCCAAGACATGAAAGTTATCGGCCCGATAAACTTTACTAAAGATGAATAAATGAAATAAATTTCATGAATTTCTTCGTAACTTTTACTACAATTTTTCATTTTTGTTTATAAAAAACACTTTAAAAAACTAAACAAAAATTATAGAATACGTATACTGAAAATGACAATTCAAAAATCAAATAAATTTTTAATAGATCTAAGTTTCACATGCCATGTGGCAACCTTTAAGGATATATTAATTAAGGGAACATAAATGTATACGTCAAAGGTTAAATTAAAAGTTTGAACGTTTATTGCAACAAAACAGTAAAATATATAAAAAAAAATTGTAAAAACCTCTTTTTTAGTTATGCAAATATTAAATATTTAAATTAAATCGCTAGTTTTAATTGGATAATTGAAAGAGTGCATAATATTTTTAATAAACAGCCAATTAAAACAATTCAAACCGTCAAATTTTTTTTATTTTGCTCTTAAAATTTTAGTTATGACCTAATTAACAAGAATATAAAAAAAAATTAGGTTTCACAGAAAGTCCAAAAATCACCTCTCAGAACAGCACCGTGATATGTCAATTGGATTTTTTTTTTTTACAAAATCCTTTAGGATTTGTGTTAGTGATGTAAAATACTATCGAAAAAATGTATCTACAATCAAAAACTAATTTTGACCTAATTCAGGTGGCCTGTTTGAGAAATTCTGACCCACATATATTACAAAATTTTGTAGATAGGACCTTTCATCTTAGCACGGCAGAATTTCCCAGTCCATATGGCTCACATTGCCACTGAATGGTTTCGAAATACCAATATAGAGGTTTTGCCGTGGCCGCCTTACAGCCCAGATTGTAACCCAATAGAAAACGTATGGGGCTACACAAAGAAAAGAATTTATTAACGAAATTTTCGACCAAACAATGCAGACCAACTCTGGAATGCTCTTGAAGCCATTTGGAACGAGATAAAGCAAGACGTCAACTTCATAAGACCATTAATTACTTCCATGCCTTTTGCAGGCAGTAAGTGACAAAAACGGAGGGTTGACTAAATATTGAAATATTTTTTTTTAAACTACAACTTGAGTTTGATTTAATTTTAGACTTTTCAAATATGAAGTACATAATATGGCCTTTAACATATTATGTTAAAGGCCATACTTACTCCAACCAAATGATAGAAAATCATGAATACTAGATTTTTAATCTTTCGTTATATTTTAATTAAAAAATCCTTATTTTGTGAGCGAAAAATATTAAAAACAAATAAAATATTCAAATCAAATTTATTAATATTTTGTAAGAACAAATTTAAATTTTTTTTAACGTTTCTTAAAGTAAAACAACAAATAAATATATAGTAAATGACAAATACAAGTAAATCTAACATGTTCCATAATTGTAAGAGTTTTTATTAATAAAATATCACTAGCCAGGTGCATACCGCACCAAAATCATCATTAATACGTCGTTATTATCAGAAAAGACATGTTAACAGTTAAAAATCAGCAAACACTTTTCAGTCTAGTAAAACAGTACCCAGGAAACAGTCTAAATTTACATAAAATATTTCCTAAAACAAAGCAAAGGGTACGGTTTGGCTGGACTACAGTGGATATCGCGTACCTTTAGAGTTTGGGCATTTAAAACCCCTTAGCAGTCGAAAAAGTACTTGTACCTGTGCAGCGGAGGCATGCGCTATATCGCCTCGTAGGCGGCATCTATCGGCGACGATGGACTGCCGTTCAGGAACTCCTCGAGCTCGTCGCGGTGGAACGAACTCTCGTCCCTGGAGCGACGCTTGTGCTTCTTTCCGCTTTTGCCGTCGCGCTGCTTCTCCTTCTCCTTGTCTTTGGATTTTTTGGCTTTGTGTTTCTTTTCAGACTGCGAACGAAATTATTACACCTCCTTATCAAATTATATACGGCACAGAATATTCTAAGAATACTCTTTAAAATTTAGATTTAGGCTATGTTCCGTAATTTACGAAAACGCATTCCGAAATCCACTTTCAGTTACTGAGCTCAGTGGTAAATATTACCCTTTTATAAATGTACGGCAGACTAATTTTACTGAAACAACTGGTGAAAGAGAGGTGCTTTGGCTCCAGTAAAACACATAACCAAACTTTTAAACAAAAAATAGCTGTCAATTTAAATAAATTCCAGTAAAACACATAACCAAACTTTTAAACAAAAAATAGCTGTCAATTTAAATAAATTGAAGGATATAAATTATATCATATAATGGTATTTGGTGAATACCTAGGTCTAAATATTTCCAGAATATGAAACTACTAGGTAGTACCTAGAAAATGTTATATATTTGTATTCAGCGGACGAATTTAAGAGTAATTTTTGGTATTTGGCGTATTGTTGTGGTGTCAGTGAAATTTTATATTTCCCATTTTTCGACGCGGACGACGATAACATTCAATTTTCCATATTTCTCTGCCATAAACCAAACATTATATTTCTTATAACTGTTATATTTATTTTTTATTTATGTTCTCTGCTGTGTCGAAAGTAAAGTTTGTCAATTGTCAGTAAATCACAAATCATAACCTTGCGTAACCATTGTCACTTTTTGCTGCTACTAAGGCGCGTTCCAATTTTACTATTGCGTCAGTACTCTAAGTCAGTACTGAATAAATTACGGAACGGTCTTTTTTCGCTACTGACAGTAAAATTACTGACAGTAATGGCAGTAAATTACGGAACACAACCTTATTCTACTTAATACAGGGTGCTTCAAAAGTCAAGGACAGCAGAAAAGGGGTGGATAGGGCATAACATTCTAAGTCGAATAGTCTTTGCCGTTTTTCGGTCAGACGCACCATTAATTAGTTATTAATAAAATAAAGTAGCCAAGCGTGCTCTAGCAGAATGATAAGATGTGAGAGAACTATAATGTGCAGAAATTCTATATAAAATCGTGTAAAATGACCTTAATTATATGGCTGTGTGGATTCACAATGGACATAACCATAAAAGATACATAATGAAATCATAAATCATAACCATAAAATTTACATAAAACCCAAAGAGCGTTCACAATGACCATAAAAATTGACATGTTGTGCATGTCAAACTAATGTCATTTTAATTTAATTTAAATTAAAATTTGTGAATTGTGTTTTTAAAATGAGTGAGACTGAAGAATTTGTTATTATTGTTACTACTAAGACGATGCCAAGATCGCCAAGATAGGGTAAAACCAAAACGAACAAGACGCTGGTGGGTTCGTCCTATAAATAGAGATAGAGAAAAAAATGGTTTCGAAGACTAATTATTGAAATGCGACTTCATGACACTGAATGGTTTTTTACTTATACTAGAATGACAGCCTCATTATTTGAGGAATTGCTAAAACTAGTGTTGATTAAACATAGCATACGAAAACCACCGAGTCCAAGTCAACGGTTGGCCATTACATTGAGGTTGTTTACCTACTTTTAAATAAATAAATAACGTATTTATTAATCCTTATGTAATTACATACAATGTAAGGTTACAACATAAGATTAAATGGCCAATGACCGAGGTCCTTCAGCCAAATGTGCTTAATTTTAAATTGATATTAAACAATAATATTGGCAATGGTAATGCTTTTTAATTTTGGTATAGAATGGTAAAAAAAGAAAAAAAAGAAGTTAGTCTAAAATGGATTTGAATAGTTGAAGTAATGTCTTTTCGGGATGTTTGAATTTCTGTTATTTTGTGCCTACTTTTATTATAATAAAAAACTAAAATAATAATTTGGCTTTATCTTAGGTATTTGTCTACCGGTGACTCAACCTTTTCCATAACAAACCAAAAGTCACCGAATTTTCCCAAAAAATTACATAAATATTTCATAAAGTTAAATTATTTGAACTTTATGTGATTTTTACGGTACTCCATAATTTTTACATAAGAGTCACATAAACGTAAAGATTACGTACTATGCACATTGTGAACGCTTCTTATGTATCCTTATGTACTTTTTTTATGTATTTCTTATGTTTTTTTTATGGTTACGTCCATTGTGAACGAGCACTCAGTCTTTTAGTCACAGAACATAATGTTTTAGTTTTTAGGTTAGTTTTAACTTAAAACATTTTTTTTTAGAGAAAATTATTATTAATATTAATAATGAGTAGAAGTGACTCTTTTTGTGGTGAGTACAGAGATTGACGGCCGAAGCGTAGCTGAGGCAGGCAACTGTACAAAGCACAAAAAGAGCTTCTACTCCAAATAACATATACTATTTATTTTTCAAGGGCGTAATCATAAAGAAACCACTGGTTTTTCTATGGGCGTAATATAAATAGAACAATCAATAGAATTATTTTATTTACTTAAATTTACATTAAATGTACAATTACACACACTGTTTTGTCAAAATGCTGCGCTTGAATTAATTTTGACGTACTGACATTTGTTTGGAGTTCCGACATTGGCGACTCGTCTATCATCATAATATTATACTAATAAACTAGTTGTTCTTTATTTCATTCAATTAAAATTTAATAAATAATCACTAAATATTCCGTGCGATTATAATTAATATAATTAATACAACGTGATTGCTTTGTATGAAATGCTAAATTAATTTTATTATTTGACGTCTATGGAGTCACCTAGGGATTTACTTCCATCCCTAGGATTTTTTGAGTTTTTTGTCTGCTGCTAATGAAAAAGACGCACTTCAACTATCTCTATACATGCATATAAGGTTGTATATCATGGCTGCTTGAAAAACAATAATTATTTTTTTCTTATTTAAAAAAAGTAAAGTAAAGGGTGTCCCATTAAGACCGCCTATTTTAAATTTAGTGTCATTTCATTCGTACAGCGTTGTTGTTGGACAGTGGTCATGAGTGAACATTGAGGTTAAGTCATGGAGATTTACACGGCCGCACAACGCATAGAAATTGTAAAAATCCACTATCAAAATGGTGAGGATGGATTTTTTGAGTTTTTTGTCTGCTGCTAATGAAAAAGACGCACTTCAACTATCTCTATACATGCATATAAGGTTGTATATCATGGCTGCTTGAAAAAAAATAATTATTTTTTTCTTATTTAAAAAAAGTAAAGTAAAGGGTGTCCCATTAAGACCGCCTATTTTAAATTTAGTGTCATGTCATTCGTACAGCGTTGTTGTTGGACAGTGGTCATGTGTGAACATTGAGGTTAAGTCATGGAGATTTAAACGGCCGCACAACGCATAGAAATTGTAAAAATCCACTATCAAAATGGTGAGAATTTTTCGGAAACGGTTTGAAGATATTGTGAATTTTTCGGTCACCATATCGCACCTTCTCGCCGTACTGTGGTCCGATTAATCGAGCAATTTAAAACGATTAGGTCAATTCAAACCAAAAAGAGACATGTCCGTGCTCGTGCATCTCGGTCTGCTGAAAATATTGCAGCAGTTAGTGAAAGTGTTGAACATAATTCTTCCACCTCGATTCGCCACCGTTCCCAGCAATTGAGACTCTCCCGAAGCAGTTTACAGCGAATTTTGGCCAAAGACCTGCATTTTCATGCGTACAAGATTTGGTTGACACAATATTTAAAGACAGCAGACCATGCACAGCAACGAAACCATGGAATTATTGAGGACAACATTTGAAGGCAGAGTTATCTCGCGCCGAGAGGATGTGATGTGGCCAGGCCGACCATGCGATTTGACGCCGTTAGATTTCTTTCTTTGGGGTTTTTTGAAGGAAAAGGTTTATGCTAATAACCTAAGAACAGTTCCTAAACTAAAACATGAGATTCGACAGGTAATGGATGAAATTGAGCAAATGTAATCGAAAATTTTGTCAAAAGAATCAACGTGTGCCGTCAGTCAGGAGGCGGCCATTTATCGGATATTGTGTTCCACATTTAACCTCCATGTCTTCCCTCTTTATTGCAATAAAAATATCTTAACTTTTTAAATAAACACGGCATTTTTTTTTAATTTTAAAATAGGCGGTCTTAATGGGACACCCTTTATAACACCATCAACCTAGGTATTTACTTATTTATTAATTAGTTAAAAAAAGTAATATAAAGAAAAGGTAGGTACCTATTTATCCCACCTAAAAAAATTTCTCCTGACATTGAAAAAATAAAATTAAGGTCATTTCACAATATGATACGTTTATAGCTATGGAATAGCAAAAGGTTTTGTTGTCCCACTTCTAATCATTCTGCTAGAGCACGCATGTGACTGAATACTTTATTTTATTAATAACTAATTAATTGTGCGTCTGATCAAAAAACGGCAAATACTATTCGACTTAGAATGTTATCCCCTATCCACCCCTTTTCTGCTGTCCTTGACTTTTGAGACACCCTGTAGATTGAGAACATTCCTAATATTCTTGCAATATTTAGAGAATATTCGTGTCTATAAGATACATTCATGGATGATTAATTTCAGTATATATCCCAGGCACATAAATAATGTATCTGGCATATCCACAGACATATATGGGCATATCTTACTCATTTTGGTACCTATATGTTTTTTGGTATATTCCTACAATATTCTACTAATATTCAATTGTTCCAGTTTTTATTTAGTCTAATTAGTCTAACTGAATCGCTGAGATTAAAAACAAGTCCATTTTTTAAAACATTTGATTATGATTTTTCTTAAATTGATAATTTAAAACGAAAAATTGATAAACAAAAAAAATGGACTTGTTCCACGGTGTATAAGCCCGTGACTTATACTGTTCTTAATTTTACCGATTCAATTAAAATTAAAAAAAAATTGACCAATTGAATTTTACTAGAATGTTGTAGAAATATAGAAAAAAGCATGTTCATTTCGGTATCTACTAGGCAGGGTTTGCCTGATTTAAATCGTTTGATTTATATCACGATTTAAATCAACGATTTAAATCAAGTATTTTTTTTAATTTTAATCAATGATTTAAATCAGTTTTAAAAAAGTTTCTAAAATTTAAAAAAACACTTAAAAGAAACTAAAGTTTAATAATATCTAGACACTATTTAAATAAATTCATATACAAAAAAATATGAAAGTTGCGGACGGTGGCTTATTTGTTTATAAAGTAGTGCCAATATTTTTTTTGTAAATTATCAATTTAAGAAAAACCATAATAAATGTTTTAAAAACAATATAATATAACCTCGAATATAACTATATAATAATATTATATTTACAATGAATTTGCGAGTTTTAAAAAGTCGGTATTTTAATGAAAATCACTCATCCATAATCGAAACCTTTGCTGCGCCCCTAAAGAGATCATTAAAATTCTTCATTTATGTATTTATTAATTCAAGGTTAACAATTTTCTCAACAATCAGGAAAAAATAAGAAAACCTATAGTTTGTCTGTAAAATGATTTGAATTTCAGAAATAATAATTAGAAATTTTAAAGAGTTATAATAAAATATAAAAATTAATAACTATTTCATTAATAAATAAAATAATCTTAATAATTTTTAATACAAGTCCAATTTAAAAAAACCAAAATTTTGTTTACCTTATCTTTATCTTTTTTCTTCCTTTCTTTCTCCTTCTTAACGGAACTGGAAGTATGGGTCTCTTCACTGTCGCTCTCCACACTTCCATTATTCGAACTATGCTTGGACACAAGCAGTTCCATGTGAACATTCGATGAAGTCACACTGGTACTGTCATCATAGGCAGTACTGTTGCTGTAATCTAACGTCTGGCTGACTACTGACACATCTTCCCCACCTAAGTTAAAATAAGTTATAATAATAATAATAAATTATATCTGAGAACCCAGTAGGTACAGTTGTATTCATTAAAAAAGCGTACAAGAATTAGAATGAGAGAAAACTGTCAACATTATTGCGTAAAACCGGCTTTCCACTGACTTAAGTCACTATAACTGACAGTAGAAAATAAAAATGCCTCGTCAGTTAAAAAGGCTCAAATAGTATCAAGAATCGAAGAAGAATGGTCAATTCGTACCGTGGTATAATAGAAATAAAAAATCTATATTAAAAATTAATAATTTTTGTAATATTATTTAATTAACCTACGACGTCAATGCTCTTTATAACCTATAGTAATTATTTTAATGACTTATGTCAGTGATAAGCCGGTTTTAAGCAATAATATTATTTTGACAGTTTTCTCTCATTCTAATTCTTGTACGCTTTTTTATTGAATACAACTGTACGTGTATAGAAAACGTCAACACATAGTTAGAGATGTTACGTGGAAAAACATCCATTTTGTTGCTTCATTCAATATTATTTATTATTATAATATATGCAATATGAAGAAAATTGCATTAAATATTGCAATAATTGAAAAAATTATTTTAATTAGAATAATCAATAGGTATAGATTTTATTATGTAGAAACTACCAAATAATAAGAAATCAAACTTTTTTATGTCAGTCAAAATTTTTAATTATGAAAAATTTAACAATTAAATGAGTTTTTGTACGTTACTTTCCTGATATTTTGGCCGATATTTGTTGAGGTTTTTTTAAAATTTGACGATATTTGTTAATCGTCCATAACATTTTAAAAAATTGTTCGATGCGGTCATTTTATAAATTTTTAAAAACTAAAATATTTTTTACGGATAATTAAAGAAGAAGCAAGTTCCAAAATAAATATTGTTGGGAAAAAGAAATATTTTTTTTTCAAAAAAATACTTTTTTAATAAATGGGTGATTCTACAAAAGTTGGACAACTTGATGTCATCAGTCAATAGAGTAGGTATTTTAATATTTTTTGTAAATATTTTAGTATATTACAAAAGATCCAGGTTTTTTTAACTTGTCCACCCAATTTTAATGTATTTTTTCAAAAGCACGTTTGTAGAAAAACATAATAAATATTCAAAACATCAGTACCTTAGCGTGTCACAACTCCTGAATCAAATATTTGAGTGGTTTTATTTTAAAATATATTCAATTTATCTTAAATTTTTCAATTTCACTACAAACTATAATACCTACATTAAATAATGTATTTTTCATATTTTATCATAGATTCGAATAATAGCAATTTTTAAAAAATTGATAATCTTTGTACTCACTTTTACCCGTCAGTTCTGTGTCCAATGTTAAAATTCAAAATTCCTGCGAAATATTGAAGTTTAAACGTCTAGTCCTTGTTATAACTCAAGTGTTGGTAAAAAATTACCTACAGGTCCCGCCCTTTGCACGACATCTTGAAAACAATGCAAGCGGCGAAGTTGTGGTGAATGCACATATAGTTCCAGTCAAAGTTTCAGTACTTTGGTGAGTAGTTATTTTCTTACGTATATATATATTTCATTGTAATTTATTTAAGGCCATATGTGATTTGTTGATAAGTAGCATCCACTAATAAAAAATATCAGTAAAATACTTAATTCCGAATTATAATCTCAAATTTGTATCCCATTCATCAGTACCGTGTCGTCATTTCCATGTTCGATGTTTCGGTTATCTTTTTTTTGCAATCTTCAATTTAAATTCTGCTTGCGCAGAACTTGTTTATTTAATGACATTATAAACTCATATAAATTTGGTGTGGGTCCCATATCTAATAATTGAGATATCGGTATACCCAAAATCCACCAGCCGCCACTGATGTGTGCTATTATTTGATTTTAAGATATTTAATGTATAATATGCTCAAAGTTGCAATAAATCTTATATTTCCAATAAATTATGTTTTTAATTAGTACCCTGGTATACTCGCCAGTTCCCTTCCATTCAAATTTAAAAAACACATATATTTCAGAAACTGTTTAAAAAAGTGACTGGCCTGGTCTGGAACAGTATATTTATTATATTATCTATGTTCTCATAACAAAATACTGTTTAATTTTCTCCGAAAACTATATAAACAAAATGAGGTCAAAAGTTGCCCAACTTTTGTAGAATCACCCACATATTTTTTTACTTTACTTTTACCTTTTTAATACATATTTTGTATTAGGTATATAAATTATATTTATATTATTAAAAACTAAATTAATATTAATTCAACAGAATTCCACAATGTTTTATTAGGTAGTTTTGATCACACTTTCTTTTTTATTCAATTTCAATAAATATATATCAGATAGATTATTACAACCGTAGACAACACAAGTCTTTATTATTACAACAATGATGCAGTCAATTGTCACTTAAATAGTCACTTAAGTGATTATTTGTTAAATTAGATAAAAAATTATGAACGTGAATGTAGACAAATTTTTATTATTGATATATCAGGAGAAAGTTGAAAAATGCAAAATTTTTGAAAATTTTAAATCAAAAAAATAGTTTGGCACGATGGGACCAAGCTAAACACCTTTCAAATTAGTTCAAGTTTAAAAAAACACGATACATTTTTTAAAATGACGACATTTCAAAAACTATTGGCCAAAACCAATCTAAAAAAATCAGGGAAGTTTCTATGAATAGATACAAAAATATATTTGGCATGAAAAATATATACATTAGACTGGGCCAAAAAAATCAACTATTTTTTTTTTTGAAAACCATATCGAAAATATGGTTTGGGGCGACAAAAAAAAATTATTGTGAAAGTTTGAGTCCATAATATTAATATTAAGAGGTCTATCATCGCAATTTTAATTTTTTTCCCTCATCAAGTTTTTGTCTTTTATATAACCTTTTTTGTAGAGCATTTAATTTTTTTTAAAAATTATTTTTAAGTAAATTTTGTTAAACTCAATGGTTTGGGAGTTCTGAGACAAAAACTTGATGAGGGAAAAAAAATTAAAATTGCGATGATAGACCTCTTAATATTAATATTATGGACTCAAACTTTCACAATAATTTTTCTTTGTCGTCCCAAACCATATTTTCGATAAGGTTTTCAAAAAAAAAATAGTTGATTTTTTTGGCCCAGTCTAATATAGATTGACACTATTCATTCCATATTGGATCGAGTTACAGAATCGATTGATACTGAAAATTATTGTGGCGGTTTTGAAACAAAACGAAGTAAGCGTTTTGTGCCTGTTGTTTTAATGCTTTTTTCAAATATTATAAAAACGTTTTTTTACATTTCCAGCACTTTTAAAAATGCTCATAAATTCCCGAAAAGTGCTTTAGCGCTTTTGAAAATGCTCGCTTTTAATAGTGCCTTCTCTAGTAATAAGTAAGAAAAATGTTACATAACTAGGAAAATTATTAATATGGACACAATAATTATAAAATTAAGTAAAAAAATAATCCAATTAAGAAAATATTAAGAGCAATAATAAATAAAAAAATGCAGCTAATGTATAAAAACAATTATCCTTATTTAGGTATTTGGGCTTTTAATGTTTTTTTTAATATAAATTATTTAACAGTTTATAAAGACCAGTCCAGTCAAACCGTCTTGAAAAATGTGCCGATACACTTACTTTTTTCATAAACCAATAGGGGCTTATTTAAAATACTCAAAACGAAATTTGCACCACACGAAATTTTTGTACGCAAAAATTAATTTTATCAGTTCTAACTAAATATCTTACCCCCTTAAAAAAAAAGAAATCCCAAGTCAAAAAATATACCTAGTTAGCCTCGTAGTCAGCTTAAATTTGGTTTAGTCTTATTTTTAGTAAATTTTTTCAATTAAAAAAAAAATAAAGCTCGGTGCAATGCAGGTTGATGTCTATGTATGATTTTTTTAAAATTGCATTTAGAAACACTAAAAAAACCTAAGTTGGGAAAATGGTTTTATATCTACACTCACAGGCAAATTAATCAATCCACACAAATTTTCGATGAATTTCAATCGCAAACAACTTTTTATTTGATGTCGGATTTAAACCGTATATTGTTCTAAATTAAGTTTTAATTATCAAGTCACATCTATTCTTAACAGTTTTGTTTTTGGTTCACCTCGTATATTTATTTTTGCGTACAAAGAAATAAGGTTGCTATGGTCCATCCATAGGCTATGGAGGATGACAGTGACAGTTTTGTTGAATCATCCTATACTTGGAAATGTCATATACGGCTTTCAAAAGTTACCAAATTGTTTTTTGCAACTTTTGAGGTGTCTTCTTACTTTTAAAAATGGATATGTCTCCGACTGATATTGCCAGAGCCATTGATTTAATTCAGAATGGACGGTCACAGTATTAAGTGTTTTAAACGTCACAAGAAGTAAAGTACAAAGGGCAACATCAGTTGGAGACATATACATTTATAAAAGTAACAGGATACCTCCATTAACAGTAAATTAAAAGTAAAAGGATACCTCCAAATTAACACATTAATATACAAAAAACAATTTGATAGCTTTTGAAGGCCGTATATGACATGTCCAAGTATGGGATGATTCAACAAAACTGTCACTGTCATCCTCCATAGGCTATGGATGGACCATAGCAACCTTAGTTCTTCGTACAGAAAAAATATTGAATTTCCACATAAATAAATATATCAACTTTGAAAGTTTCAAACTGGAAATATTTCATTTAGTTGGAAAAGTAAAATTTTTGAAAATTTCAAATGAAATCTTCAATCCGAAAATTTTAACATTGCCTGTGAAAGTTTCAGAAATTTCATTGTAAGTTTCGCAATTTACTGAAAATTTCTCATAAATTTCACATGCGGCCTCCCCTGGGACCTTTAATAATAATTTACAACAGATTCCGAATCGACCAATAAGAACGAGTTATCAAGCGTCTGGGCGTTTTTGTTTACTTCGGCTTGGATTTGAATACACTATAAGTAATTATTGTTACTTATATGCATAAATTAATTTAAATAATTTATTTCAGTTACGAATTTAATTTGTAAATTAAATCAGACTTTTAAATTTTTTTAAAAGTCATGATTAATTTAAACTTTTAATTTTGCTATAATTGCATCGGAAAACGGATAAAAAATGCCTTTGGCTCATAAAATTTTGATGAAGTTCCTTCAATTTTCGTAAAATTTCAGTATAATATTTAAAAAAATAAATATACCTATATAAATACAAAACAATGAAAGTGGCACAATCTCATTAGCTTAACAAAAAGTGCTATATCTCTTTTAGTTTTAGTAATTTTAAAAATATTTTAAAAGGAAATCTCAAGAAATTTGTGGTAAACATAGGTATTTACTTTTTATATTATTGGTGCAGAGGGGTAGGAGGTAAGATAGGCAATTTGCCATGGTCCCCGAGTGGGTTTATTTCAATATTAATATATTACACTTAAAGTGATTGAAATTTATTGAAAGTTTCAATAAATTTCATGAAATTTCAGAAATTTAAGAAATTTTAATAAATTTCATAAATGTCATGAAAACTTCAAGTGAAATTTCAAGTACAAGGAAAAAGGGAAATTTTCCCAACCCTAATCAAGGTGAACCAAAAACAAAACTGTTAAAAATAGATGTGGCTTGATAATTAAAACTTAATTTAGAACAATATACGGTTTTGCCACTCTACAGAGTGTCTTAAACTTATGGTAAAAAACATATTTTTGTTTAAACTTGTATATTATAAACGTACGTCTAATTTTTAGTAATTTTTAAAATGTGAGCGATTGTCCTTTAATTTAATATTTGTGTAAATCCGAAATCAAATAAAACAGTTATTTGCGATTGAAATTAATCGAAAATATGTGGACCGATTATTGCCTGTGAGTGTAGTTTGATTTGACCAATTTCGTTGTATGGTTGTGTAATAGTAATAACTTACCTTCGGGAGATCTTCTCCACTTGGTGTCCGCTCCGATCCATCCATCGTAGGCATCCGAAGTGAGCTCGGATATTTCCGAGTTGATGGTCGAGTCGAACTCGTCGTTCGTCTGTTTCATGTCGTAGTCGTCGAGCGCCGTTTTTTCCACCGGGTCCACGTCGCTGCCCTCGTTCGATCGGACGACGCGCGCCGGCGCAGACAGCTGCATCCCTTCCGGCTTCTTCCTGCTTTTCGTTTTGGGGAACGAAGCGACATCTTCCGGATCGAAGTCCTCTTGCAGTTCGGAGACCAACGGATTACCCGTGTCGGTGTCACTAGTAAAGAAAATGTTTCTACTTCAGAAGTATGTAGAGCAGGGTGTATGTTATCTAAATTATTTGTTTACAGTCTAAAAACTCTTTTTTAATTTTTTTTCCAATGTCGTTGAACCCTGCCTAAATGATAATATTTTATTTTATTGACATAACAAAGAAAGTATTGACTGAAGGGGCAAGTGGATAAAGGGGTTAAGTAGCAAACAGCATAAATAATTTTTTTGCAACAATAGGGAAAAAACTTGCTTCTCAAATAAGTCAGACCAAACTGGCACATCCTACCGAACAAAAACCCACTGCATCAATGTACCTTAGACCCACCACCCTTAAGAACAACAAGTCACCAGGATACGACAACATCAAACCACTATTACTAAAAAATCTGGTAAGCGTAATAGGACCTACAATAGTAAAACTAATTAACGAATACATCAAAAAGGGAACTTAACCAGAAGAGCTCAAAATAGCAAGAATCACACCCATTTGGAAAGGTGAAAATAGACAAGATCCGAGCAACTACAGACCAATAGCAAACCTAACTACTTTAAATAAGGTGTTTGAAAAGGTTATACACAATAGATTATATGATCACATACAAAACATAAATTTTCTGACACAATCTCAACACCGAGCAACTACAGACCAATAGCAAACCTAACTACTTTAAATAAGGTGTTTAAAAAGGTTATACACAATAGATTATATGATCACATACAAAACATAAATTTTCTGACACAATCTCAACACGGTTTCAGAAAAAATAGAGGGACAACAACGGCCTTGATCGACCTGCTAGAATTTACACAGACACAACTGGACAACGGAAAATGCGTAACTGGTCTAATATTTGACTACAAAAAGGCGTTCGACACAGTGGACTTGGTCACTCTCGGCAAAAAATTGTAGGAAGCTGGAATACACCAAAATGCCCTGGCTTTGCTTACATCATACTCAAAGGGAAGGAAAATGTACACAACAATAGAATCAACGCATAGTGATGTCCAAAATGTCGACTTTGGAGTGCCTCAAGGATCGATACTTGGTCCATTTCTATATATCATGTACATTAATGACTTATACAAATTAAATCTAAATAGAAAGCATATGATGTGTGCAGACGACCTCGCAATCTTCTATGTAAACAATAATGATAAAGCCACTCAACAAAATATGGAGCAAGACCTGGAAAAACTGGAAAAATGGACAAACGACAATCTCTTAACACTACAACGAAGACAAATGTTACATAATCCACATAGAAAAAAGGCCAAAGACACACAACAATAAATTAAAATTAAAGGGCAAAACTTTGAAAGAAGTACAGCAAATAAAATATCTAGGACTTACCATAGATAGACGTCTCACCTGGAAGAACCACATACAACAACTAGCCACAACTCTAGCATCATATACATGCTTAGCTCACAAACTAAACAATGCATTACCTACACAACAAAAAAACATAGTCTACCACGCGTACATAAAGCCAAAACTAACCTATCTCATAACCTTTTGGGCAACAGGAGACAAATCTAACCTAAACTACCTACAAAGACAACAAAACAAGGTCATAAAAATCTTGTACAATCTAAAAAAAGACATGTCAACCGCATATGTCTACCAAAGCACAAAATTGTTAAACATAGAGGAACTGAGGCAGACTGAAACCTTAAAAATAATCCACCAAATACGGGGCTTGAATGCCAAAATGAATAGTGAGCTTCACAGCTATAATACAAGGGGAAGGGACACTTACAGATTGCTAAAGTCCAAAACCAAAATGGGGGAGAGAAGACTGGCTTCAGGAGGAGTTAGTTTGTACAACAATTTGCCCGAGAGCTACAAAAACATGACTGACAGCCAATTCAAAAAAATGATAGTCCAGCATATAATTAGTACTATGAAAGATCTGTTATATAAACGAGACATTTATTTACATATTTATATTCTATCTATTTATACAGTTATATATATATGTATATATATATATGGGGTATTCCATACCAAATCGACCACTTTTGAACCCGACCCCTTTAGATTTTGCTGAAACTTTTCCATCCTTTTCTACCCTTTGAAAAACATTTTTGAAAATTTTTTCAAATTTTTTTGTCCAACCTCAAAAAAGTTATGAATTTAAAAAAAAAATGGCTTTTTTATTTTCAAATAGCCATAACTTTTTTAGAAATTGACTTTTGGGTACTTTTTTTTTTAATTTTTGTTTTTGAATGAACTTTTCAAAAAAATACACGAAAAAATACACGAAAAAAATTTAACATGATCAATTATATAAAATAATGGTTTTTTTTTAGTAAAATCGTCATTTTTTCGAAGTTCGCCATTTTTTTTTTTTTTGTTTTTTTTTCTCAAAAAAAAACTTCAATTAATTTGACAACTATCCCCGCTAATCCTGGAGTGGCCCGATTTTTTTTTAATTTTTTTTTATTTATTTAAAAAAAAATTGTCGAATTTTCTTTGACAATTTTTTTTTAAATAAATAAAAAAAATACAAAAAAAAATCGGCCCACTCCGGGATTAGCGGGGACAGTTGTCAAATTAATTGAAGTTTTTTTTTGAGAAAAAAAAACAAAAAAAAAATGGCGAACTTCGAAAAAATGACGATTTTACTAAAAAAAACGATTATTTTATATAATTGATCATGTTAAATTTTTTTCGTGTATTTTTTCGTGTATTTTTTTGAAAAGTTCATTCAAAAACAAAAATTAAAAAAAAAGGTACTCAAAAGTCAATTTCTAAAAAAGTTATGGCTATTTGAAAATAAAAAAGCCATTTTTTTTTTTAATTCATAACTTTTTTGAGGTTGGACAAAAAGATTTGAAAAAATTTTCAAAAATGTTTTTCAAAGGGTAGAAAAGGATGGAAAAGTTTCAGCAAAATCTAAAGGGGTCGGGTTCAAAAGTGGTCGATTTGGTATGGAATACCCCATATATATATATATACACATTGTTTTACACATTACATTTATTTATATACAAACAAAATGTACCTGTTATAACCCACAATGGGTTATTTAGGTTTACATCCATCAATAATAAAAAAAGTAACATTTTTAATAATAAAGAACAGAAAATATTTTGATTGCAAATAAAAATAAATTTACAATTGCAATAACAATATATTTTCTTTGAAGGTGTCATGTTACATTTAAATTAAAAAAGATAAGACAATATTGTGATTGTAAATCAAAATAAATTTGGTATATAACTCATTACAGTCAAACTCTTATTGATTATATAGTCAAAGATGATATCTTATCTTTGTATATAGTAACAAACATAAAATACCTAAACCATGAAGTAGACTTGACTCCAAAAATTAGTCACAATTGCATACTTAGTTTAAACATTGAAATTAAGAAAAATGACACAGATTATATAGTAGTACCCAAAAGAAATAAGAAAAACTATAATATAAACAACTTACATAATAAATTATTATTTTTAGATTGAAATAATACAAATTCTTGCGTTAATACATTGGCAAATTGGTTTACAAGAAATATATCAAATTCAGTTAATGAAATGTGCCCTATATTTAATTTATGTATACAAACAAAATATCTAAATAATAAATGGATAAAACCCGACATAATCAACTTATTGAAAGAACAAGACACCACATATAGGGCAGTCTTTACAAATAATGAGATGGATTGGTCAGAATTCAGATTTTTAAGTAACCAAGTAACACACATGATTAGAAATGAAAAAGACCCGGACAACAATCGGGATTTCCTGGTGAAGTCATGATGATATCAGGTGATTTTTTTTTATCACGCTGTGATATCCTGAGTGCATTCACATGCTTCATCACAGTGATATCATGTAGAACTCACGGTGTGATATTTGCAAAATTTGCGCATGCGTATGAGCCCTGCGAACTGCGAATTTAAAACCTAGTTTGTTATTCACATTACACCGTTATAATTTATAAAACGTTGTTTGAATATCACGAATGTCGTGATTTTCACAAATTTTATTCATACTGATATCATACGGAAGTAACCGCGTGATAAATGAAAATCATACGAACGTCAAGTCGTGATTTTCACGAATTTTATTCATACGGACATCATCCGGTTGTCACTGCGTGAGAAATGAAAATCATGTCGTGATTTTTATGCCATCGCTGTTTGCGATTGACCGATGGCCTAAAAAATCATGTCGTGATTTTTTATTCCAACGGTGTTTGGATAATCATTTTTGCGCCACGTTCGTACATTGTGAGAAAATGTATGTTAACAATTGAATTAACAGTTTTTGCGGTTAAATACATTTAATATTTTCTTGGATTAACTATTAATTTAAATCCAAAAAAATATTGAATGAATTTAACTATAAAAACTGTTGATTCAATATATATGTAAGTATACTTTTTCTCTCAATGTACGAATGTGGTCCAAAAATAAATATGCAAACACCGATGGCATAAAAAATCCCGACATGATTTTTTATGCCATCGGATTCATTTTTGCGACACATTCGTACATTGAAAGAAAAAGTATGCTAACAATTGAATCAACAGTTTAACATTCAATATTTTCTTGGATTTAAATTAACTATATATAGTTAATTTAAATCCAAGAAAATATTAAATGTATTTAACCGCAAAAAATGTTGATTCAACATAATTTTTCTCTTAGTACTATAGTGTACGAACGTGGCGCAAAAATGATTATCCAAACACCGTTGGCATAAAAAATCACGACATGATTTTTTAGGCCATCGGTCAATCGCAAACAGAGATGGCATAAAAAATCACGACATGATTTTCATTTCTCACGCAGTGACATCCGGATGATGTCCGTATAAATAAAATTTGTGAAAATCACGACGAGACGTTCTTATGATTTATCACGCGGTGACTCCCTATGATATCAGTATGAATAAAATTTGTGAAAATCACGACATGATGTTCGTATGAATATCACGAATGTTGTCCGGGGAGGTATATTATGAATGATATTGAATGAAAATAGGAGAAATAATAAAAAAAGTCTTATTTAAAAATATTTTAGTTGAAAATAAACAAATAATTGCTGAAAAATTCAATACATATACAATATAAATAAAATAATTAGAGACATTCATTTAAATCCTAACCATGAAAACTTATTGAAAAAAATTATACCATCTGAACAAATAAATAATTAGTCACAATGGATAACCTTAAAAAAATCATTAAGTCACTTAAAAATACAAGCGACATTGGCGATGGTATCTCAACAAAAGTCTTAAAGGATTCTTGTTATGTGGTAGCACACAAACTTCTTGAAATTGTAAATAGGTACATCTCATTAAACTGGAATTTTTCCGAACGAGTGGAAGACATCATTTATAACACCTGTGCCAAAAGTTCCTGCGACTACTTTATGTGAAGAATTTCGACCAATAAATGTAATGGCTCCATATGAAAAGGTGCTGAAGTTATGAGTCAAAAAACAAATAAGTGATTAAGTAAGTATTGTAATAAAAATCATGTTGTTACAGAAAAACAGTATGGATTTCGTAAAAACCATGCTTGTGAAACTGTTGTTATTAACGTCTGTGATAAATAGATTAAAGAATTAGATAAAGGTAAACTTATTTTAAAAGAGCTTTCAAAACTATAAATAGGGACGTATAATTAAGTAAATGAAATAAAATAGGATTTTCTGGAAATATTTTAAAATGGTTTAAATCTTACTTTATTCAAAGACCTCAGATTGTCAAAATAAATCATGTTTTTTCTAAAAAAAATTATACTGTACAGGTCGTCCCTCAGGGAACTGTTTTAGGTCCTCTGTTAAATATGTAAATTGTGAAATATGCATGTTTGCTGATGACACTATGATATATGTGATAGGAAATAATATTCAGGAAATGACTAATATAATGAACTCTCAACTTAATATAGTATTTAAATGGTTGAATAGTTTGAATTTTGTTCCACAGTCTTATTTAATAAAATAAAATGCAACAATTACAAAACATTGTTTTAAAATGAAACAAATTCACGCCCATTATTAGTTTAATGTTGAAAACTTTAAATCTTTTAAGTATAAATCAAAATGTGTGTATATACATATATTATAAAACAATGTTAAAATTGGAATGTACCATCCTTCGTATTTAAATAATAAACTTAACAAAGCACAAAATATTCACAATTACAGTACAATAAATAATACTGATTTTTATGTTGAACATTTTAACAAAGTTTTGTTAATGGATTAAAATTGTATAACAATTTACCAACTGATATAAAAAACTGTAATAATTTAATTAGTTTTAAGACCAATATATTTTCTTTTGTAAAAACAAAAATTGACCTGTGATACTTATTTCTAATATTATAACATATATTTTATATGTGTATTATAAACAGATTTTGCTAATAATAAAGATATTTATTTATTATTTATTTATTTATTTATTGTTTGCCATTTATTAATAAAAAGGTTACTTAACCCCTTTATCCACTTGCCTTTTCAATTATTTTTAATTAATTTTGAAAAAAAAATTATCTAAATGACAACATTTTTCATATTTATTTATTTCAAACTTTAACTAATGTTATCATCTAAATGGACATATGTCTATTAATTAGCGAGTTATATTTTTTGTATGTCATTAAACTGAAAAAATATCATCAGTGATTCATCATTTAGACAGGATTAATCGACATCGGATTTTTTTTCTCCAAAATTCATTTTTAAGCTGGAACAAATCGTCACCAAATTCACGAAGTGGCGTATATGAAGATTTAAGTTATGCAAAAAAGCAATTTTTTGAAATAAAAGTTTAGCATACTAAACACTTATTCCAGAAATTTGCTTTTTTGCATAACACAAATCTTCCGATATGGGTGTTTGAAGTTTTGTGTTATGCAAAAAAAAACAATTTTCTGGAATAAACGTTTAAAATGCTAAACGTTTATTTCAGAAAATTGCTTTTTTGTATAACTTAAATCTTCATATACGCCACTTCGTGAATTTGGGGACGAAATAATTCAAAACGATAATTTTTATTTGTCAAACATTTTAGTAAAATGCTTTTAACTTTTTTAATATTGTACGTTATTTACTAATTTTATCAAAACACATTTACATACATGTATAACTCAATCAACTTAATAATTAAACCATTGATATCGTTAAAAAGCTCTTAATGCAAAAAATCACATAACTACGAATGTGACTGATCATTTCCCAACAGTAAATAAAATAATTTAATAAAAATAATAAAAAATAAATCTTAAAAATATATTTTATTTAATTTAATTTCCAATGCATTTTAAGCAGTTAAGTAGCAAGAACTGATTTACAGGTCAAAAATATTTAAAAAAAAACTATAAAATGTCTTAAAACTGTCGAAAATGTTTTAAAACTCAAAAAATATCCTAAACCTACCTTAAACTGTTTAAAATTCACTAAGATTTATATAACATTTTATAATAATAATTGAACTACATTATCAACCGAACTTTTGAAAAAAAACAAACGCTTAGAAGCGCTTCCATAAATCATTTAAAAAAATAAACAAGTAGAAAATGGGACAGTGCTGTGCAAGTGCTAAGTGTAACATGTACAAAAGAAAGCTTTTGAAAGACACAAACAGAGTACCACTGGTACTGTACCAGAGCTTAAAAACTCAAACGCAAGACTAAAATGCCTTAAAAAATAAGTAAATGCACACATAAATATCCTGAAACTGAGAGAAATGGCTTACATTTTTAATACTGTCGAAAATATTCTAAAGAAACTGACTCAGAACAACCTTACTCAAAATGTCCCGAAACTCTCAGAAGTGCCTAAAACTTTCGTTAAATTTTACAAGACCTGTTAAAATTGTCCATAATTATTGAAAATTATATACTCAAAGTAAACTGTTTAAAATATTATCTTTCAATGTCTAAAAACGTCCCAAAAATGTCCTATAACATATGCGAAAATATACAGATTATTAAATAAAATAACTTACGAATCAGATTCGACAACCTCCTTAAGATTGGATTGTCCCTGGTTGTAGTGGACATCGTCCAAAAATCCATTCAACTGACCGCCATCGGGACAGAACTCCTCCACCGAGGTGATGGGACTCACATCGAGTCGTCTGAGATCGGGCAGACCTTCGGAGATCACGTGGTCGAGTCCGACCTTCGATACGAAGCCCGAACTCATGCTGGAACTTTTCGATATATTCGTCATTGGCGCTCTTTTCACACTTGGCATGACGTTACCGTAAGGAATCGGCTTACCGGCTCCAATAACTAAAACATTTAGAAATAGCACGAAGGATACCTAAAAAGTATGTTTACATAACCTTTGAAATATATAATAATTTAAATTCTTGAATTATAGCATATAACAGGGTTCCCAGCATTGTTTTGTACTTTTTTTTTATGATTTTATGACAAATTTTTCAAATTTTATGACATTTTTATGACAAGAATTTATTATTTCTAAAGTTATTTAATAAAATAAATGTAATTTTTTAACGGTTTATTATATAAAAATAAATATTTTTTCTCGCATCAAAATAAATATTTCTGCTATAATATTTTTAATATTTGTTACTTTAGTATTTTATTATAATAGGTATTATAATCTCAAAATAAATAAAACCAAAAAGGTATACAAATCTGAAATATTGGAGGCTCAAACAATGATTAACATGGGTCTCAAAAAAGCAACAAAAAAAAATAGTATATATACCTATGGTACTATTTTTTTTGCTTTTTTAGACCCATGTTAATCATTATTTGAGCCTCCAATATTACAGATTTTTTAAGCGTAGTTATGTAGTTATTGTTAAGGTACTTCGATAATTTCTTATTTCCTTCAGAAATAATATTTCTTGTTATTTTTAACTCTGCTTCCTCACTTGCCAAAATAGTATCAATTTCTTCAAGTCCTTCTTTGTGCCTTCCTTAGTAAAGTAATATAGTATAAAAATAAATTTACCTTTCTCATTATTTATTTCAAATGGGGTAGTTAAATTTTTTCTGACCTATACTTTTTATGGTTTTATTCAAGGCGTTTTGTAATATTAAACATTTCTGTGAAATCAGAATTTCAATTGAGTTTACCGTTTTCGAGATATTTACAAAAAATATAAATTTTTATGACGTCACAAACCTCGCCAAGTGACCAACATTCTAAGATTTCTATTGGTTGAAAATTACCCTGTTGTCAAGTTGTCTTGTTAATGATTTCATTCGGTTATGTCAGAAAATACCCGAATAGGTTATGTACAAATACTGTCACAGTGTCACTGTCAGTTGAGTGAAAGATGGTCACCAAATTCATTAAGTGCCTATCTTCCTTATTATGAGGTATCATATTACTGTTTGATATTTTAGAGTCCAAGATATATCTAAAAGAATATAAAGAACTAGGCATTATACTAATGAAATGCATTTACGACAAAATATGATTATAATTATAGGTACTTACTTTATTTGTTTAAAAGCTCCAATGTTCAATGTAACCAACCATTTCACAAGATTCCTCTGCTTTGGAGTCCGTTATCAATAATATCAATTACAAATAACATAACAATAACATTGATTTTCAATAATCTAAATTTAAAAAAAACATAACCCGAAAAAAAGAAACGTCAAAAATTCAATTCTTCTTCTTCTTAATTAAAATTATAGATCAAGTCGTTTTAAAACTAAAATATTATGACGTGGCGCCATCTATCGTAAGAATCTTAAACCAAACACACTGGCAACCATAGAAAAAGCTGGCAACGTTGTCAATAGCCTAGTGACGTAATTAGGAGATTTTGTTTTGTAAATATCTCGAAAACGGTAAACTCAATTGAAATTCCGATTTCACAGAAATGTTTAAAATTACAAAACGCCTTGAATAAAAGCATAAAAAGTATAGGTCAGAAAAAATTTAACTACCCCATTTAAAATTCATTTCCTAACCTAACTTCTTTTTCCTTCATAGCCTATGTTCCGTAATTTACTGTCAGTACTGTCGGTACTGAAAACGCATTCCGAAATCCACTTTCAGTTACTGAGCTCAGTGGTAAATACTACCCTTTTATAAATGTACGGCAGATTAATTTTACTGAAACAACTGGGGACAGAGAGATGCTGTGGCTCCAGTAAAACACATAACCAAACTTTTAAACAAAAAATAGCTGTCAAATAAAGTGAAGGATATAAATTATATCATATAATGGTATTTGGTGAATACCTATAGGACTAATTATTTCAATATTTATTGATAAAATATTACTTGAAAGTACAAGCAGCAGTGACGAAGGCAGGTCGGCGGGGAGTACGCATACGAAGACCCAGAATATGAAACTACCTACTAGGTATATTACTACCTATAGGTAGTACCTAGAAAATGTTATATATTTGTATTCAGCGGAAGAATTTAAGAGTAATTTTTGGTATTTGGCTTATTGTTGTGGTGTCAGTGAAATTTTATATTTCCTATTCCTATATACATTTTTCGACGCGGACGACGATAACATTAAATTTTCCATATTTCTCTGCCATAAACCAAACATTATATTTCTTGTAACTGTTATATTTATTTTTTATTTATGTTCTCTGCTGTGCCGAAAGTAAAGTTTGTCAATTGTCAGTAAATCACAAAACATAACCTTGCGTAACCATTGTCACTTTCTGCTGCTACTGAGGGGCGTTCCAATTTCACTGTGCGTCAGTACTGAATAAATTACGAAACGGTCCTTTTCCGCTACTGACAGTAAAATTACTGACAGTAATGGCAGTAAATTACGGAACACAGCCATAGTATGAAGTCCATACGTCAACAACCAAGGCCATATTTAAAACATTTTATTGCGTTTTATTCTACAGGACCGGCTTTAAATTTTATTTTACAAAATTTCCATTTTATAAAAAAGATCAAAGGTGAGAAAATTGTTAAAAAATAATGAAATTTTATGATTTCTATGACAAAATGTGAATTTTATGACATTTTAGGACAATTTAACCAATTTTATGATATTTAAAAATTTTATGACAAACGGGAACCCTGATATAATGAAATGCGAAGCTGGCGCAACGAGTGTTTACTAAACGAGTGTCTAGAGAATATTATTTAAGGCGAATTGCATAGGTACTAAACTTTTTTTGCGACGAACACAAAACTTTTTTTTACAAGAAAAACTCTGTATTTTAACGACAAAACAGATTTTATGGCAATTGACAACTAAATTAAAGCTAACTTCAGCCCGTGACTAAAAAGCCAGAAACCCGTCGTTCAAAGTTTATAATGACTAAAACGCAGTATCAGCTTGCCAATGTGTATTTAAAAGATTACTTAGCGTCATGGAAACATATACGAGAATATACTAAACGTAATCTTCATAAATTAGGTTAATAAAATTTATTATAAATAATAGTTTGAAAGGGTAGGAAGCAAAAGGGTACAAGGGTAAAAAAGAGTAGTAGAGTTATTTATTAACTTTTAAAGTTTTTGCTATATTAAAAAATCTAGATAATCTTGTTTCAATATTATTGTTTGCATTAATCAACATGCAAAACACGTACAATTTTCACGTTATGAGAGAATTAAAAAACTATATAAAGTAGAAACCACTAATATATGAACGTGACTCATCGGGTGCCGAACATATCTCAGACATGCTAGCAGTAATGTTTTACTTGTCTTGTACATTCGATGCAGCGGTAAATGTACTCACACGTAGGTTTTTAAGCATCCGGTCTAAAATGCACCATCTGTGATGTAAAACTGCCTAGGTGTTGGACAAAGATGGACATATGACGCTTGTGTCCTAGCTTGTTACTTAATTTTATTGGAAGTCAGTAGAGTTCGTGTTTTAGGAATTTATTTTATTTTATTACATAGTAAGGCAACCAACTTTACCGTCGGCCATTTGTTTTTATATGTCATATGATCTTTGTTTTTGCATATCGTGTTTCTAATGTGTGTTTACGGATTAATAATCGTTTTAAACGTTGTAGTGGCAGTGGTTTATATTATGTAACACAGGTAGATGTCGTATAAAAATCCTTACCTAGAAATTCTAGGCTAGAATACAAAAATATTTTTATTATACATTTTGTACTAGTATTAGTTTAATACATTCTGAAGAAGCTACTGTGTAGCGAAACAATTGTCAATATTTAATAAATTTCGTGAAACTAACGCAAGTTGTTTTTATATCCACACAATTTAAATATCTTTCACTTTGTACCTGACCTGCGTACCTAAACATTTTTGTTTTTTGTCACCAATTCTGAAATATTTGCGTTTACAGTTAAAAGAATAGTATATTCTGTAACAAGTTTGACGGTTTCACGAGAGGGGAATATGCAATTCCAAACGTGTTTCAGACTATACTAAGAAATTCTTAGTAAGAATTTAATTGGAAGAAAGTGAGGTTGAGTCGGTCTAAAAATTTGTTATTAAAATCAGAGATGTCGCCACGAGTGTACGTTCTGTAATCAGATGATAGAATATTTCATTAAAGTTAAAAGAAAAGTTTATTTATTAATTAGTTTTTAAGAAAATTACATTTTATTTAATTATCGTAGATGTTAATTATGTTAGATGTTAATTATTTAACTTTAAAAGCAAATATATCATAAGTATAGCAACCAACATTACACTCAAATTTTTTTACAAACGGGACAGCACTGGACCGTGACCTTCGATAGATTGCTTCGTACGAATGTGTCGGATGAGTCACGTTCATATATTAGTGGTTTCTACTGTACATATATACATTAGGGTGAGCCAAAAAAACTAACCTATCGGATTTATGGGTTAAAATGAACCTACATACCGAGCAAAAAATTTCCATGCAAGGCAAAATTTTAAAAGGTGTCGGTGAGCATTCTAAGTTTTCCATTGAAATAACACGTAAAAAAATCTTTTTTCATTAAAAAGAATATAACTTTTGAACCGTTTGAGATAAAAAATTTTACGTCGCGGATTCTTGTAGAGCATAAAATTTCCCAAAGAATCTATACCATGATTATTTTTTTTAATTCAAAAATTCGTATGTATGAAAGCTTTGAAAAGTGTAAAAAATCACTAAAACTGCAGTTTGCAGGGAAATTTTTTGCTCGGTATGTAGGTTCATTTTAACCCATAAATCCGATAGGTTAGTTTTTTTGGCTCACCCTAATATACATTATGTATACATGTATATTGTAACACAAAAACTCTTAAGAGAAGAGAAGAAATCAAAAAGAAGAAACCCATAGAATTAAAAAAAAATAACCTGATAAATAACTTTATACAATTGCGTGTTTTTTTAAATAATATACTTTAAAGACCATATAAGGTCTAAGGTAGTCTCCAATTAAATCAAACCAAATATCACTAGATAATTACATGTTCGTAATCCAGTGTTACCGGATCTTCTAGACAAGAATGACAGATTGATAATTATGGTTGGACACATTATTATTGCAAAATTGTGCGGTAAAAGTTAACAATTTACTTCTACATGCATAAGTGCATACGAAAAAAAAATGGTCAAGTTATAAGATATGCATTAGGAGATGAATTTAATTACCGCATATCTATAACAATAACAATAAGAAATCGATGATCAAATGCACTAATACATGTATTTTTTAAAAAATTTACTCGGAAACTAGACGGTCTAAAACTTGTATTTGTATGTATTTTACTACAACCTAAAATTTATTCTAATAGCGACTAATGTCGTTCTCGCACCACCTTTAATAAGTTTATTTATTAAGTTTAAAAATTGCGAATTTAAATAACAGGAAAATGATTTTTTTATTATTTCTTTCTTTTGCCATTTTTCCCTATAACTAGGGTTTGCCTGATTTAAATCAACTGATTTAAATCAACTTGTATTTGTATGTATTTTACTACAAACTAAAATATATTCTAATAGCGACTAATGTTGTTCTCGCACCACCTTTAATAGGTTTATTTATTAAGTTTAAAAATTGCGAATTTAAAGAACAGAAAAATGATTTTTTTTATTATTTCTTTCTTTTGCCATTTTTTCCCTATAACTAGGGTTTGCCTGATTTAAATCACGATTTAAATCGACGGTTTAAAGCGACAATTTAAATCAAGTGATTTTTTTAAATTTTAATCAATGATTTAAATCAGTTTTAAAAAAAGTTTCTAAAATCTAAAAAAGATCTAAAAGTAAAGCACAAAAATGTCTTGACACTATTTAAATAAATTCATATGCATAAAAAAAACTACTTATTGTGTTAAATAAAATAATAAAAGAATATACAAAAATATATATATTTGTTTATAAAGTAGTGCCAATATAATATTATTATAGTCAAGTTATTTTTAGTATTTTTTTTTAAATCATGATTTTTTCGAACCCTGCCTATAATTTAATTTAATTTTTTTTCTTACCCTCTCAAATGTTTCTATTTAATATAAAAAAAATCCTCACCAAATATGGGCGTTCCAGCTCAACTCTAAGAGGTCGCTGTTTTTATTTTAGTTTCCTATTTAATTAACATGGGAAAAAATAATTTTATGTTTGGAATTTGTATCAAAGTAACTCATGGCAATGATCATTTCTTATATTGTATTGTATGTATTTTACTACAACCTAAAATTTATTTAACAATTCTAATAGCGACTAATGTCGTTCTCGAACCACCTTTAATAAGTTTATTTATTAAATTGCGAATTTAAATAACAGGAAAATGTTTTTTTTTATTATTTCTTTCTTTAGACATTTTTTCTCTATAACCAACCTTTTTTTTGGAAGATCTAAAACTAAAGCACAATAATATCTTGGCACCATTTAAATAAATTCATATGCATAGAAAAAAGAAAAACTACTTATTTTGTTAAATAAAAGTAAGTGGTAAGTTAATAAAGAAGTGCCAATATAATATTATTATAGTCAAGTTATTTTTAGTATTTTTTTTAATAGTATACTTTATTAAAAAACTTATAATTAAAAAAAATCATTTTTTGTTGATTTTTTTTATTTCTTTTTAAATCATGATTTTTTCAAACCCTGCCTATAACTAACCATTAGTGTCCTTTAGGACACCCTATATAGTTTTTTATAATATGTATATATACAGGGTGTTTCATAATATATGCGCAGGACTTCAGGATCTGATAGCTCAACCAAAAAGATGAAAAAAGTCGCTATTAACTTACCCTCTAAAATGCACAATTTTCGAGATACAGGGTGTTGAAATTTTAGAAAAAAAATCGTTTTTTTCGATTATCTCTGGAACCGTTTATGGTACAAAAAACAGCTTTTGTAACCATTTTCTACTCATAATAAGGTATGTTTTGTGCCAGAAAAAAATTTTTTTTCTTCATAATTGGTGGAGATTTTGAAGGGGTAGCGGGTGTTTTTCTCCTCAACTTCTACGCCCCTGAAAAAAGTACGGTTTCGAGAGGCTCGTTCGAACCGCCAATGTTTTCTACACAAAAAAGGTACTCTTGGTCATAAGCCCTAAAGTTGACCGTTTTCGAGAAATGTTTAAAAACATGGTCAATTTTTTGAAAAAAAATTTTTATTACTAATTAAACAAAATTTATTTTAACGTTAGAAAAAGTAACAAAACCAAACGATAATTGCAAAATTAAAAAAAAAATAAAAAATGATTTTTTACACAAATGCTTTACGGTTTGGAGAATTTAGCAAAGACAACTTTTGAATCATTTTTTATTTTGAAATTATGGTTTGGTTTTGTTACTTGTTCTAATGTTAAAATAAATTTTGTTTAATTAGTAAAAAAAAATTATTTTTTTTTGAAATTGTCCATGTTTTTAAACATAAAAGTTGATTTTTCTCGAAAACGGTCAAGTTTAGAGCTTATGACCAAGAGTACCTTTTTTGTGTAGAAAACATTGGCGGTTCGAATGGGCTTCTCGAAACCAAATTTTTTCTGGCACAAAACATAGCTTATTTTGAGTAGAAAATGCTTACAAAAGCTGTTTTTTGTACGATAAACGGTTCCGGAGATATTCGAAAAAAACGAATTTTTTTCTAAAATTTCAACACCCTGTATCTCGAAAATTGTGCATTTTAGAGCGTAAGTTAATAGCGACTTTTTTCATCTTTTTGGATGAGCTATCACATCCTGAAGTCCTGCGCATATATTATGAAACACCCTGTATATATAAAATATTGTTTACTTATTTATTTTTATTACCTATTGGCCCACTTTGAGATCTTTTCACCTCCCCTGTTCCATTAGAACCTGGAGGCTGACTGGAAGGTGGCGGTAAGGGTATGTTAGCATTTGAGTCTGCCACTTCCCTGCGCTTTTTCGTGAGATTCTCCATAAATTTGCCGTAGTCGGCTTCGTCAGATTCGCAAAATATGTCCAGTTCCTGAACAGTGCTGTTAGTTTCCGATTCATTTCTCTCCAATTGTTTCAACAAAGTTTCCCGTTGCAGTTGCAAGAAAGGAAGATTGAAAAATTTGTGAAGGAGTTTTAAACCAAAGCCGTTTCTCATCGAGGATTCTGAGTGTCTTATTTGAGCTGATCGAGAACTAAAACAATATAATTAGTGCCTAATGTCCTACAAATTGTAGGTATCTAAAACAATATTTTGTAGATACAATTGAAGATTTTATTAGACTTTAGTTGAAATTTTTGACCTGCTATTAGAAATACCAACAATCCAATAGGATTTTTTTTAAATAGTTACCTTGCTATAGATTCTATATAAAAATTAACATGGTCAGCTGTAACTGATCGGTGATGGGACATATCACAATGATTTGATAAAATAACGACTGGAATGTGGCTTGGAACTTTCGGTAATTCCCGTTGGACGTAATCAAAAGTCCAGGATTTCGTTAAATCTAGCATCATTATCACACCATTTGTTCCTTTATAAACATCCAGAAATTCGGCATCTAAAGCAGTCTCTTCTGGAAGTTCAAGTTGCATATTTTCCAACTTTAGGCCATCAAATCTCTTTTTCTTTTTGCCTTTGTCAACCACATCCCACACTTCAACCTTGACAATATCATCGGTTGCTTTGTAGTTCCACTGAATGGAAGTCACTTGAATTTCGTCAGTCGGAATGTATTCTTCAATGAATTTTTTGCCTTGCAGTCTTTGAAACAAGCATGTTTTACCCACATTTCTATCCCCCTTTATTATTATCTTCACTAAAAATCAATCAAAAGGTATTTATAGTGAAATCCATATCTATAAAGTAGGGCATATCCAAAACGCTGATTTTAAAGATTTGTTGTTTAGAGCTCGATTTTTACAACAACCACAGAATATTCTGTTGGTTTTACAGAAATAGAGCTTTAAATAACACTGTTAAGGTAAAAATGCCGCGTTTAAAATCTTTCCTTCAAAAATCAGGTTTTTGGATTTCCCCTACTTTGTCTCTGGGGTACAGATATCTATTACCAGAGCTAGATTAGTTCATTAGAATCAACAGCACTGTTAGCAAAACTGTATTTTGTATTTAAATATCCATTCTTAAGAACGTTATATTGTTGACATTTGTAAAGTTATATCTTGCAATAACGGCAATAATTATATACCTATGATATTCAGACCCCCAGGAATCCCAAAAAATTTGCGATTGGCACCACATTATCAAAAATTCTGTTAATATTCAATATACGTTAATGAGTAAAATTTTGAAAATAAATTTTAATGAAAATTCCACACCAGTACTTTAACCAATCAAAATGGGTTTTTGACAGGTCACCATGGCATGTAACCAACAGCGAAGTAAATCAAATTTTTTTTGACATAATCACAAAATATATTTTTTTAGAATATTAGTTTTAATATCTTTGTTTAATTTTGATACATTTTCTACCACTTGTTGTAGCTCAAAGTTTATGTAAAATTAAAGAATGTACTATGATAAGTCTTAAAATTGCATTTCCATGCAACTACAATAAGTAGAAATCATGGTGTTGTCCTGACAAAGAAAAAAAAGGCATTGTTAAAAGTCAAAAAATATGATTTTAAAATAACTTTATTTTGAAGACAATTTGTTGTGGAATTTTCTTACCGAATACCACGCGAGGTGAAATTAGGTAAATCCTGACATTTGGTCTTGCTCATGAATATTTTTAGAAAATTATTCCTCATCTTCAATTCTGTATAGGTAATTTCCGGAAATAATTTAACCTCAAGTGGTATTACCAGTGAAAACTACAAAAGATAAGTGCTTGCAATTTTTACTACATGTTTATGCATATGTGAAATTAATACCTATACTTCCAAAGGAGTGTAAGATGGGAAAAATAATAATTTATTCTTCCTTAATGGCTTTTTCATAAATATATTATATTTTTACTAAAATTACCTTTTTTTTAACATCAGAAGTACCTACTTTTATTTATTTTTTAACGTTAATGCTTGTTTACTTGTACAATTGTGTTTTCTATCCTGTACCCAACTGTTGTAGTGTTGTAGTTATTGTTATTTTTATTTTAAATAATGGTTTTAATGTTTAACTATAGTCACAATCAACAGACCTTAAGTAGCACAGTATATGATATTCATATGCTCCATACCTTCCCGATATGTCTAGTATATACCTGAGGTGATATTCATGTTCCTGTCATATTATCGAAAGCATATGAAAAACAGATTATGCTGTTCCTAAGAATATCATGTACCTATACCGAAACACAAATATTACACGACATCTCAAGAACATCCTGATTGCGTCTGTCGACAGACGCAATCGGATCCGGGCTAATTTGTCACCAGTTAACATAATTATGATGCAAAGTAACAACTTTAATTAACTTTCACCTGTAATTTGTCACCTGTCATTTACCACCTGTCATTTGTCACCTGTCATCTGTCACCTGTCCTATGATGAAAGGTGACAGATATCTGTCAGCTTAAGGTTACTGACATAATATAATAGTTATAATATAATACAATGTATTATATAGGTTTTAAAAAAATGTTTTTGTCAAGTTTTGCGCCAAATATTTAAAAAAATCCAGTTCTTCATCTCTATAAAAAGATTACAATCAAAATAATTATTATTTTATGTATCAAATAATAATCATTATTATCTAATAACTATTGTAAATACTTAATTGTTGCTATAAACCATGCAGGGAACAATAATAATTAATAACAACAACATAATTTTCTGATTCGGATTGCTTCGTTGAGCGTCGCCCTCTCTCGCAATCTTCGAGTCTTTCGACATCTTTACAAGCTAACGCGACTTGGCCGCCATTAGTGAACCTGTTGCGCGATTTGAGCCGGCTATGCCATGTGCCTTTTCGTTTTTCTATAAATTCTATAATATCTAGTGTGTATTGTGATCTAGTGAAGATTTGGATTCCAAATTTGGAAGTAGTATATATATATATATATATTTATATATTAAACTGCACTGTTACCTGAAGTTGAAACAGGATTGTAATATTCCATACGCAATGAAAAATATATCTCTATCATATTCCAAAGACTGCCAAATTCACATGATATGCAGCTGAAATACCTTACCATTTTCATGTGCATAGGATATGCCCTTGACCTGAATATCATAAAAATTCATATGATATTCAGATTCCATTTGTTTCCGTCGGTATATGAAATTCATATACAAATCATATAACTGTGCTACTTGTGCAATTGTTGTTTGAAATATGACTATAGTATACTACTTGTTTAGTTTGGTTAAAAACGTGTTGTTTTCATTGACATTAAACACATTCCTTATCTAATTTTATTATCAGACATGTGTTTGTCAATGAAAACAACATTTTGAACCAAACTAAACAAGTATTAGTAAACTTAAAATAACATTAACCATTATTTGAAGTAAAATTTAAAAATAATATAAATAAATTATGTTCAGTTGCGGACGGACACTGAACGACTATCATCCAATTGGCATCAAAATCTAAACCTCCTTTATGGACAACTATAGTTATAACCATACTTCCAGTTATCACTGGTCTTGTCATTTTGACAGCAAAAGCAAAAATGGTTAATATTGTATCTTTGCTTTTAACAGATTTATACATGGACAACTAAATTATGACTTTCAAAATTCCATGTCCGCCACTTTTCCTAGGTACCTATATGAAAAATTAATAAAAATAATGTAAGAAATAATTTAGTTTTTATTGGAAAAAAATAATAAAAATAAAAATGCGTTTTACTTTAATTTTAAATATGGCGATATATCAGCACGATTTTGCCGATACCGATTGTAGGCAAAATTTGTCGATATGTCCATAAAATACCAATACACCCATTTTTATATCGGTATACAAAAAAATTTAAAAAAATAACTTTTATTTTTTAAAAAGATATAGGAGCGTAAACACTGAGTTTTTAAACTTAAAAATAATAGGTTTCCCTTTATATTGTTTTAAGCCTAATATAGATTAGGTCTATGCTCCACCCTCAGAAGTCCCACCTTGACATTTGCCTAATTGAGGTAATTTATCCGTCAGTTTAACGCTAATTTCGTCATATGTTTTAAAAATATTACAATATAATATATTCTCAAATATTTTGAACATTTTTTTGTTCTTAATTAGGACCTTACATACACACAAAATACATAATAATTTATATTAAATTATTTTCAGAAAATAAGACTTAATTAGCTTTAAACTAACAGATAGATAACCTCAATTATTTGTAATTAAATATCAAAGTGGGACTTTTAAAAGTCCCAATTGGGTGTAAAGCAACCTACCTATCCCCTGTATCTTTTTAAATAATGAAGGTAACAATTGTCTAAGATTCCTGGGGGTCTAAAGATTATAGACTTTCCAGGTGGTGCAAGACTTTTGGGACACCCTGTACATTTTAAGTCCATAATCTTCAGACTGCTATATCTAAAATTGCTAGCGACTAAACATTTGATTGATAGAATTGGTTTTAACTTGGTACTATACCTAGTGAAATTTCACTAGGTATAGTACCAAGTTAAACAAATTAAAACTTACTGTTATATTGAACACCTTTCGAAAATTTTCTTTGAAGTGATGTTGACATGGTTTGGTGACCAGGAGGTCTCGAGATCGAAGGGTTTTGTGATGCATCATTTTTGCTTGCCAATCTTTTTATTGCAGAAAACATTGTTGATATTTGGCACTTTATTTGTTTTTACACTTCTTCCATATGTTTTAAATATTCATCTTTAATTTTAATATTCTGGTAACAATGACGAAATGCAGATAATTGAAGGCTATATTAACTGTTATCAAATAATAATAATATTAACTCTTCACATTTTTTGCAAAATATTACCATTTAACTAGAATTGGTTTTGTATGACAGGTAGCAATAGTAAACAATACAAGAGACTAAACAGAGATAAAACAAATCTATTTTTTAAATGAGCCCATTTTCACAGATGGCGCCACCAAATTTTAAATTTTTATTAAAAATCATTATTTATTATGCTTTTGTCGGCAAATTGTATTTTCCCTAAGTGTATTTATTATTTTAAAACCAATAAAACTCTAAAGCTTCGTGTTTAAAACCTATAAAACATATTTTATTAGAATAAAAAGGGTAGGCAACCATAATAAACTTAAATTCTTGCTAAAAGAAAGTGAAAAGTGAGCACTAAGCACTGCGTAAGTAAGTAAATTACAACCAATACAAATTTGTTCATTATTATGTAAACCGAGGGGTCAACCACACCTAGGAATACCTGGACATTTTAGAGGGGGAATAACATAGGAATACAATGGGAATACATGGGATTATATGGGTATACATGGGAATCCCTGGACGTTTTTCCTTTGGGTGGTTGACCCCTCGATGTAAACCTTTTTTATTCAAAGCTACGGATGATCCGTACGTCATCTCCCATCAAATCCCATTATGGAAAGTCCAGAACCAAAAATGAGTATTTATTATCAATTTTTAGACAGAACAATTATATTTATTAATTATTTTTGTGTAATGATAAGATAATGCCATTTTCTAGCATTCTAGCATTCTTTACTACAACAACATTTCTTTTTTGATGAAAAATCAATTCTGTTTAAAATTTTGCAATTATTTTAAACTTGAATTTTTTCTTTTTTTAAATTTGTGACATCTGGCAATTTTTAAGTGCCAAATAATTTAGTGATTTCTGTCGACTTTTGAAGAGCTTGGTTGAGACTTTTCACAATAGACTGTTGGCAACACTGAAATATGCAGTACGTGTAATTTTCTACCTTATCCGTGTTGTGTTTTGACAGCTACTGAAGTTTATAAATACAGATGTGTAGGGATTTTTTAAGAAAGTATCTTCATATTTAACGTAAGTTGTTTCTTGTGTTATACTTCTAGCTTAATATATGAAAATAACTACATTTATAACGATATGTTATTATTACTATAGGCATTCATATTTGCATGCTTGGGTTAACGGTAATTCCCTTAAATAATTAATAGTTTTATTAACTTTTTAAAACATGTATAATAAATAAATCGCTATAAATAGATGTGTATATAGGTACCCAACTTTAGCTTAAGCTTTATAAATAATAAATATACAAAATTGCTTGTGATAATTTAATTTTGGGGTAAGTATGTACATTTATGTTTGTATATTTGGACAGATAAGGACAGGGACAGGATTTTATTTTTCCTGTCCCTGCAATACCTGCCTTGGATGGGGCTTTCTTTTCTCTCTCTCTCTCTGCAATCCCTGGCAGGGACATTTTCTTTTCCCTATTCCAGCAGGGACAAAATTTAACTTTCCATCTCCCTGTGAATTTCCTGCCAGCAAAATTATTTTTTTCACTGATATTTAATTATTTTTTCAATACTCGTCAACCTTTCAAAAATTTTAATAGAAAAATAATTTTATATGCATATTTTAAGTAGGTTGCTCGGGATCTACAACTAGATGGGAAAATACCAAAATTGGTGAGCGTTTCAGTGAAAACATGTGGAGTGGGGCAGCAAAAAATGAAATGGGTCACGTCAGACTTGCATGCAACTGGCAATAAAAATCGACAGGGCCATTTATTTAATTAATTAATAAAAATTGCTCAAGTCAATCGACGACGTTTCAATTCCAATATCTAATTAATTTTTTAATAATTGTCAACCTTTGAAGTATTATAATAAATTTTATATGCATATTTTAAGCATGTAGCTTGCGCCAGAATTTAGTTTTTGTTCATGTTTACATGCTTTACATGAGTTCATTTGACGACTTACACTTTTCAATGTAATGGCTTATTACCTCCATGAAAGGGCACCACAGAAACAAATAATTTTGGCTGGCAGGAAATTTACAGGAACATAAAAAATAAGTTTGGACCCTGGCAGGGAATTTACAGGGACAGGGAAAAGTGGATTCCGCCCCTGCCAGGCATTGCAGGTACAGGGAAAAGAAAATCCTGTCCCTTCCCCTATCCGTCCAAATATGCACACCCTTAATTTTAATATAAATATATAAAGTAAACTTGGTTAACTGGGGTTAACAAGGAATATCCCTTCAAGAATTCACTAACATTTTATAATTGAGCTTGAAGATAAAATTATTAAGTAAATAATTATCTTTATTAGCAGTTTTATTAATTTTTAACCATATAATCTAGTGGTTTTTAATTATTAAATATATGGCATAATTTTATACAATACATCTATGGTAAATTTGTATGGTTAGCCTAACCAGGTTACAAATTGTAACTTACAATATTTTGGCAGGAAAGTTATATATTATAATACTGTATTATTATATGAGAGATAATGCGCATTAACTTGAATGTAATACTATGCTTTTTCTACTTCAATTAAGTAATATTTATTAGTAACAAAATTTATTATAACCTTTCTTCCGATTTTAACCTTTAACTGGTATAGTAGGGTCTGATGTGACCCTACATTTCATTTTTTGTTGCGCCTCTCCACATGTTTTTACTGAAACCAGTGGCGTAGCTAGGCCTTTTTAGGGAGGGCTGTAGACTCCCCAATCCTGTTTCCAGCCCCCCTAAATACATGCCACGGCAAGGCTTAAGTAATTTAAATGCAAGTTGAAAGCAACTCTAAATTTTCTTGCGGAGTATGTTTTATTGTGTTATTAAAAGTCAAAACATCGAAAAATCAAAATCGCAAATCAGCCCGTTTCTTTTTTTTAACCAAATTACGATTTTTTTTTTAATTACATTTTGGCTATTTCAAGCGCGCGAAATGCACGAATAACAAAACTATTTTTATAAAAAAATATTCTTTTTTTATTAGGTTATTCAAGAAATATTTTATAAAAGTAGAGATAATTTTAATAATTGAAAGGTGTGGACAGGACAAAAAAAAGATTTATCCTGTCCCGTCCACACCTGTCAATTATTGAAATTATCTCTACTTTTATAAAATATTTCTTTCGTTTTTTTTATTTAATGTATAGCCTAATAAAAGATGAATATATTTGAAAATTTTGTTGCAAAAATAATATATAATAAATTACCAACAGTTTTGTGATTTGTCTCGTCCGTACGCTTGAAATGGCCGATTTAAATATAAATAAAAAAATAATTTAAATAAATAACTGTGTATATACACACCCCCCATATGTATGTTTTTTGGACTGCAATATAAATATTACTGTTTTTGGATGCCGCGAAATAGCTAAGATAACTACAAAGTATACTAATTTTCGTTCAAGAAAGAGATTCTACCTAAAATATTTCTTTCGTATTTACGTAATACAATCGTTCTCAACTAGATGTAAACAAACAGTAAATGGAGCCAATACACATGAAATGGCGTTATATGACCTGTAAGATGTATTATAAAAAATTATAGAGAATGGGAAGATAGTGGACGCGATAAGAAAAGTTCTAAAGAATTTAAATGCTGCGTTAACATGCCAATAATCAAAGAAAATCCTGATACATTAATCATCGATGTATACATAGTTCCACCGCCAGAATTGCACCTTGTGCTAGGGGTGGTTAACACAATTTTCGAAAAAATAGAATCTTTATGCTCTAAAATGGGCGGTAGAATGCGGTGTATCGAGAGTGATAACCAACGGAGGACGAGGTTTTGACGGAAATGGATGCGCTAAGTTGTTAAAAATGCTGACATTTTGAGAAACTCAAATAGCTATAATATTGGCTGTTTACCATTCGCAAATTGTTTATCTAAATTGGAAAAGGTAGTTGATTTCTGTTTTGGTGAAACGTTAAAACCACATTATAAGAAAAATATTACTGATTTTCGAATTCATAAAAATAATAAAAAAAGTGCTCTTTTAGTTCCACCCTTACTTCCTAAGAAGTCCCAGAAGCCAACTGAATGGCTTGTGCGGGTTAGGGGTAGGAACGGACCGCGGGCTTAAAGTCCCCTCCGAAGGACTATTACACAATATTACAAACACAAATAAACAGCCATACCCTTGTGGGATTCGAACCCACGCCCTCCGACTTGTAGTCAGCAGCTCTAACCACTAGTCCACCGTCGGCGGTGGCATTGGGTTATTAATTTTATATTACATTTATGTATAAAATATAAATGCATACACACACATTTATTTATTTTTTAATTATTTTGTATATACATTTAAATGTCATTAAAAAAATCGTAATTTGGTTAAAAAAAAAGAAACGGGCTGATTTGCGATTTTGGTTTTTTGATATTTTGACTTCTAATTACAAAATAAAACATACCACAAAAGAAAATTTAGAGTTGCTTTCAACTTGCATTTAAATTACTTAAGCCCTACCAGGATGCACTACATGTTTTTTATATTTAATAATTTTTATTTATTTAGTATCGGTTGGCTTTTTTAATCGTAAATGTAATGTTAATTGTCACATAATCCAATTAATTTCCTCATTGCAACGTGCACAAACAATAACATGAAAGAAATTTTAAAATATAAGTTTGTAAAGTGTAAACAAAAATTTCCCCTGTGGTGGGCTTTTTTACCCACGCCCATAATATACCCAATGTTACATCCCTAGCTACGCTACTGACTGGGAATTTTGAAAAAAAAGTAAGCTTCACATGGTAACCAACACATTTATCTATTTTCCACCCAATTTGTGATTTTTTCGCCTACTATATTTTAAGTTACCGCCATTTTTTGTTTATCCAATGATTGCCATATTGGAATTTTACATGGGGCCGGATTTACCTATACCTAAGCAAAATAAGCAGTTGCTTGGGGCCCCGCTCGATGGAGGCCCTTGATTTACATATGTGGCTTATACAGGGTGTTATTTAAGTACGTGGCCAAACTAGGGGAGGATTCTTTGAGTGATTCTAAGACGAAAAGTTCATATAAACATCTGGAAATGCTCCGTTTTCAACGTACAGGGTGTCAAAACTTAAAAAAAACAATGGACCAGTAATATGGAAAAAAAATAACCCATTTTTTGATAGTTTGGTAGTTTTAATTTTTTATTATGTTGTCCCACGAACATGCAATAAAGTGATATTAATAAATCTTTGTACATTTTTGTAGTAATATTCAGTCTCGTCCTAACACTTGAAGAGATAGGTTGGTCGTTAACGAGAACCCTCCTAAGCAGTGTAAACGATACAAACGCAAGTACCAAAAACCTTTTCTCAAGAACGAAGCAATATACGAAAAATATGCTAGAGATAAAAAAGTTTTAATTTTAGTTGCTTAATGTGAAAAAAATATAAAAATTGCAAAAAAGTCAGTGGCGTACATTTTTTTGGAAAGAAATATTGATTCAGGTGTCTTCGGGGACGCCACTGGACTTAATAATTTTAATCTAGTTAGGGCTAAATTGGCCCCTTTCCACCCTTAATAACACTATTAAATTTCAACAAAATCGGTTAAAGGATTATGGAGATATTTGAAAAAAAATTTTGACATTCTGTACGTTTAAAACGGAGCATTTCCGGACCTATGTTTATATGAACTTTTCGTGTTAGAATCACTCAAAGAAACGTCCCCTAAAGTTTGGCCACGTACTTAAGGAACACCCTGTATTCACATATTTGACCTATAAAAATACCATTATTTTACATAATAAATTTGAATAGCAATTACACAAACTTTTCTCCAATTTAACGGCTTGGTATCTCTTCCAATAAAACAATATCCATGGGATACACATATACTGGTATGTAACTTCGAATACAAATGTGATATGTAATTTACTGTGATATATAATGTAATGTATTGTGATATTGAGATATATGTATAATGTAATGTTTTTGTTCTGTATATACAACTAATTGTTAAAACTATTTAGAGGTGTCTCTCTGTAAACCTGTAAAGTTTTTGGAGACGAATAAACTGATTTTATTATTATTATACTTGGTGCACCCTGTTTAACACGACAATACCTACGTTTAAAGATAAAGTATTTATATTTCCCTTTATTTGAGTCATTCTATTTTTTTAACAAATTTGCCACGTTTTAACAATAATTGTCCCTAAAACTAATAAATTAGCTTACTAATAAATTAGCATACTAATAAACACTAGGTAGGTAATGTTTAACTCGGTTAACTGCAATTTTTTTATGTAGTATTATAAATTCTACCTTTTAACAGTAAAACTACTCTAATAATTGCTAGAAAAATGACAACAATTTTTTAATTGTTAATTTTGTGTTTTTAATTCTTAACTTTTAAGGTGATATTTTATGTCCCCCTTTTTAACAATTTTAACTTAAATTCAGCTACAGTAAAATGAATAAAGACAATAAAGGAAAATTTAGAAGGTGATTTTAAAAGTATGTCTAACAATTATTTTATACAATTTTAGATAAATAATGTCCAGTACAAGTGTGTCAAATAACGAAAAATTGCTTAGATTGCTCTATTTAAGTAATACCTCTCCTAAATATATATCTGGAAATCCTGACAAGTACTCCTTACCACAAATTGATGCAACCATATTTGATGAATACCTTAAATTACCAGAAGAGTTTCTCAAGACCATCGAGACAGTATCTGCTTATAATATACATCCCCAGAGAAAAACAATTTTCTATGCTCTAGCGCGTTTTTTAAATACCCAAAAACTGCCAGAAGAGGTTAAATCAAAAATAACAAAAACTGCCATTGATATTAGCAAAAGTGATGAGGATTTTTTTGATTATTTAAAGTTTTGCACCACATTTAGAACAGGAAAAACTAAAATTTCTACTTGTGTGAGAAAACGAGTTAAAGCTTTTTACAAAAATAAAACTGCAGAGGAGCTGGTGGATTCGTACATTCTACATAAAAGTGTGCATGGATGGGATCATAGGACCTTATTGAAACTTACTCATATTAAGTCGGACACTTTAAGTAAGTTTTCTGCTTATTAATTTATTATACTAAGACAGTTTACATGCTAATAGTACTCTGTGAAGAGTTTTTATATTTTTTATTTGATTTTTGTAGGTAAAAATCTGGTTATTAATTATATTTTATTAAATGATGTGAAAACAGAAAATATTAAAGATGAAACCTCTATGAAACTTATTGAAAATTTAAAAGAGATTAATACTCTAAGGACGACAAAGGATGTAGCTGTGGCTTTACCTATAATTAATAAGTTTAAATTAACTCATCATCATTTGACGCCATTTTTACAAAAACATCAAGAGGTAAGAATAATTTAATTTTTTTGAAATATTTCGGTTACCAGACATTTTAGACAGTTTTAGAGAACATATTTTAAGGCACTTTTGAGTCATTAAAGTTTAAAATGATTTTATGAAATTAAATTATAATTCTAAAATAATTATTATAATCCTTTATTATAATTTATAGTTTTAGGATATTTCGGGATATTTTTACACATAAGGGCATTTTAAGACATTAAGAAATTTACCATTATTTGTCTGTAGATATAGGTATACGGTTTTAGAGCAATTTTAATGGGTACAACATTTTAGAAAGGAAAAGTGTTTTTGAAAATTTTAAGGGCATTTTGAGACATTTAAAATTGTTTCAAAATGGTTTTAAAAAGGTTATATTTTTAGGACTAAGTTTGGTTTTGTTGATTTTTGTACAGAATATTACAAATTAGTCGTATTTTTGGTAGTTCTGGTTTTATGCGCATGTATTTTATACGCAAACCTTGTGTAGTTCAGTTTGTGATCTAGTTCCTGTTTTGTGTAAGTTTTATAATAAAACTTTTATTACTAAATAATGTCCATAAACTTAGCAAGGCAATTGTAAAATGTTCAACTTTTTTTTATTAAATAAATGTTAATTAGTTTAAAATAAAATTTTCCAAACATTTTTGGATTAAACAAAACTTAACACCTTATAAAATTTGCATTTAACTACCCCTGGTGCAGGCTAGGCTTTTTTTTTACAAAAATCTTCTAGTGCATTTCTGGAAAACCGCAACTAACTTAAATAAGGTTGAAAATATTACTAAACAACGCTTTAGGACAAGATACGTGTACTTTCATTGATCCCACAAAATATCACATCGCCTCTTATCGGCGTCATGCGCATTGAAGGTGTTACTGAGGTTTTATAAGTGGCTCAGGCGGGCTTGGTCAGTGCCTAAGCACAATACCGCGCGCGTCTTAAAAACGGCAAATTTCGAACCAACTTTGAATTTTGATACATTTTTATACTTATGCTTTGTTAAGTCCATATTAGGGGTGTCAATCCCGAGCCCATTTTCCAATCCCGGGCCTTTCGGGACCAAAGGTAACTAATCCCGGGATCAGTCCCGAAAAAATATATATCATTAATTTTAAAACCAATTTAAAATAAAACAACAAGAATTCGTAGGCACATTGTACCCACGTTTACCCCTATTAACAAATAATTCCATTTTTGTTATCAATCGGGCCTTGGTGAGTTCGAATTGGGGCTGTAACTTACATTGAAATTATCAATTTGTGACATTTTTTCAGGTTTGACGTTTGAAATATGTTATATTATAGGTAATTTACATAAATTTATTCTACAGTGACCTGTAATTTTACATTTTCTTTGCTGATTTTATACTATAGATGGAACCACTCTTGCTATGTTATTTCAATGTATTTGCATTATTGTACGGCATACAGTGTTTATATATATGCTTATGAGTATTATAATATAAAAAATGTAATACGCTTAAAAAAAAGTCTATTTTATTCTTTGTAACTTATTACTAAGATCCCGGGATTGGGACTTTTAATCCCGGGATTTTCGGGATCGGATTTTTTACGGGATCCCGGGACCCCGGGATTTCGGGATCCCGGGATTGACACCCCTAGTCCATATGGAGTAAGAAAAAACTGATGTAGTTTTTTTTAAACAAAGGCTACTAATTAATTTTATTTACAACAAACAGTGGCATGCATGTACTATGCTCCACACCTCAAAGTCCCACCACGTGACCACGTATGGAACGCAGTCTTTTGAAAATTTGGCATTTAAGGCTTTTCAGGTTATGTATCTGTCAAAGTATAGTCAATGAAAGAAATAATATTTATAGTGTTACCGCTTATCTTTAAGCGTTAAAAGTTAATAAATCTTTATAATCTTTATATATAGTATCACAATAACAATGGTTGGTTTAAGAATTTAGGAATAATAATTCTGCATTTAATGAAATTCCAAAGTGTAGGTGCAATATAAGTGATATTTTTGTGCATTGGGTCTACATTTCTTCATAAAATAGTTTTAACTAAACAGTATTTATTAAAAAAATCTAACTTCTCTATTATGAAATAAGAATATCTGTATTAGAACAAAAAGTATCAACTAATTTTGTATTTTAAGGTTAGAAAAATCTATTTTGACCAAAATAAATAAGTGGATTATTCGGAAGAGTGTGTTAATATGGTCATAAATGAATATAGGTATACTAAATAATTGTTGAATATGGTTCAAATTAAATTGAAGCTTTTATACTTCTAATGACAAAACTTGTGCATACCTCTCGGCATACCTACTTTAAGTTAGATTATAAGAAAACAAACAATTTTTAGAGAAACTTGCAATGTGAAAATATTTAATACTGCCATGACATGTGATTTATTAAAATTTTTAAAGTTATAATGATTTTTTGATGTAGATCAAGTTCAGCTTTCAAGCTTTTTAACTATTTGTATTGACAAAACTTTATGTAGGTACACTTTAAGCTGGATAAGAAAAACTACCACATTTTTAAATACCATATTATACAGTCTTAAATAATCCAAAATACTTATTTATTTTGGTCAAAATAAATTTTTCTAACCTTAAAATTACAAAATTAGATGATATTTTTGTTGGGTGACGTTCATAATATCGAAATTCACTTTATCGAATTCAAAATATCGAACACTTTTTATCGAAAATCAAAATATCGAAAATACAAAATGTCGAAAATCAAAATATCGAAAATTAAAATGTCGAAAATGATAATATCGAAATTTTATTTAATCGAATTTTCAATTTATCGAAAATAAAATATCGACGTTCATAATATCGAAATTCACTTTATCGAATTCAAAATATCGAAAATACAAAATGTCGAAAATTAAAATGTCGAAAATACAAAATGTCGAAATTTTATTTAATCGAATTTTCAATTTATCGAAAATAAAATATCGACTGCTTAAAATATCGATTATAATAATATGGAGGCGCCTCTGATATAGAAATGTACTCAAACTCAACAACACAACCCAACCGACCCCGCCCCATTGGCCCCCCCCCGCCCCATTGAGCAAAAAACCCAACTAAAATGGGCTAATTTATGTAATTAAAAAGTGTTTTATTTTTATCGTAACATGAATTTGCCCATTTTAGTTGGGTTTTTTGCTCAATGGGGCGGGGGGGGGGGGTCCAATGGGGCGGGGTCGGTTGGGTTGTGTTGTTGAGTTTGAGTACATTTCTATAAAACGCGCATCTCTAGGAGCCAGGGAGCCAAGATAATTCGGTGCATAACCGTAACTTTATCTACAGAGGCGCCTCTGTACATATACACTTCGATTTTAATCATACATTTTAATTTTCGATATTTTTAAATCGATATTTTAATTTTCGAAATTTTAATTATTCGACATTTTCAAATCGACATTTTAATTTTCGATATTATCATTTTCGACATTTTAATTTTCGAAATTTTAATTATTCGACATTTTCAAATCGACATTTTAATTTTCGATATTATCATTTTCGACATTTTAATTTTCGATATTTTGATTTTCGACATTTTGTATTTTCGATATTTTGATTTTCGATAAAAAGTGTTCGATATTTTGAATTCGATATAATGAATTTCGATATTGTGAACGTCACCCATTTTTGTTATAATATATTAACCTACCTTTAAAACAAATATTCTTATTCCGTAATAGAGAAGCTAGATTTTTTTTAATAAATGCTGTTTAGTTAAAATTATTTTATGGAGAAAACCAGATATTTGGACCAAATGCACAAAAATATTACTTATTTGGCACTTTAGAATTTCATTAAATGCAGTATTTGTATTCTTAAACCATCCATTGTTATTGTAATGTTATAAAGATTTATACATTTTTAACGCCTAAACATAATATTATTTCTTTCGTTGACTATACTTTGACAGATACATAACCTGAAAAGCCTTAAATGCCAAATTAATCTGTGCAAACGACTGCGTTCCCTACGTGGTCACGTGGTGGGACTTTGAGGTGTGGAGCATAGTACATGCATGGGAAAATATCAAATGACATTTTAAACAACTCCCAAAACTGTTGGACACAATCTCATTATTTATTTTAAAAAATATACATTATTTTAGGCTTGGAATGCTGTAATTTCAAACATGTCAATAAGGGACATTCTTAAGTCGTTACCAAAATTATACAGGCTAGGATTTTTGAAACAAAATTTGGAAGTCTATAAAATCATAGTTGCCTGCCTGACTGATGCAGAAAAAATTAAAAAGGATCAAATTTTTCCTTTGGAAATTTTCATTGCTCTAAAAAATTTTGAGAAAGGTGGAAAGTAAGTATTACCCATTTATCAATTTACTATTGATATTAAGATAACTATAATATTTAGACCCGTGGATCCAAAACTTATAGACCACTTAACAAAGGAAAAGAAACTAGGAGAAGAAGAATTGGCAAAAGCTAAAACTTTAGTGGAACCCAAATGTCCAAATATTGTTAACAACATTCACAAATGTTTATCGATGTCTTACAGTAATATTCAAAGCACAGGATTAAAATTTCTTATTACAATTGATGTGACTGAAAGTATGAACCTTCCATGCCTGCACTCGAAAAATATCACGTCCATCGAAGCAGCTCTGGCGATTACATTATCATTTCTGAAATCGGAAAAAAATGTTACTACTGCCTTATTTAAAGATAAGGATATTCAACTTATTAATTTTAAATCATGTAAGTTAATATCACAAAACATTAGTAATCATCTTATTTATATTAAATTTGTTTGTAGCTGACTCATATTCAGATAATTTAAAGAAGTTGAAGGAACACAAAAGTACGTACATGATACCTTTTTCTGGTGTTGAATGGGCTTTGCACAAAAACAAATCATTTGATGTTCTAATAAACTTTGTTCATCATCATGAGTTTTCCTCTGCTGTGCCAAAGGAACATAGAGACAAAATATCTAGAGGTTTAAAGTCTATACACAAGTATCAAGAAACTGTTAACAAATCAGCGAAGTGAGTACCTAACAGGATTTGTTTATTTTTATTTAGGATTTGTAAGTTTATTAGTATACATTGTATACTATACAAGTATATTAAAGAACAAATAATGCCATTTTCTTGCATGGGGACAAGTTTTTAATGAAAGTGTGCGAGAAAACTTCTTATGAGATGAGTTTTTTCTACTATTTTTTTTTATTTGCCAAAATTTTGAGAATATCGAATATTAAAGCCTGAGTTATAGATTGCCTTCCTTCCTTCCTCCCGTAGAAGATGAACATTACGTAATTGTTACCATTAACATTTCCCGTGTAGGAATTTTTAATACTTTGTGATAATATTTTGCAATTATAGTAATAAAAAAAATCAAAGAATAAAATATTTTCTTAACAAAATCATATTTTGAAGTTATTTTAATATTTGAAAGTATCAATAATTGTTAAGTTTAATTAAAATTAATAACGGGCAATGTTAATGGTGACAATTACGTCAAAAATGTTTATTAAAATCGTAGTGCCAGTTATAGATTCCCGTACCGTGAGGACGGCATTCCTTCCTCCCGTAGAAATTTTTAAGTTTTATCTTTCACCGTAAAGGTCTTTGACATGACCAATCACAGTGCTTGTTATTGACATGCGCTGTAGGCGTAATTACAAAATATTTAAAATACATGATTCTTTAGTTTATTAAATAATTTGTGTCTCTAAATAGAATATTTAGATATTGTTTATGATCAATGTCTTTCATTTTTAGAAACGTTGCTTTGTAAAACCCCCTAGTTTCCCGGTCTTGGTAAAGTGGGCGAATCTTCCAATGTCTTGTTTGATGTTTTTTTTTCATTATAGTTACTGCCCTACTATGGAAAAAGGCAGTAACTACAAATGCGTTTTCTTGTGCTATGATAAAGCTATGGACATTTTATATCGTAATTCAACAAAGAAATGCAGTAAACTATCTTTTAAGTTAAATAAATCAGTTAAATACCTACTGCTTTTTATAAAAATGTAGTTTATGCTAATTTCCCACAAATTTCTTGTTTAACAGTTACTGCCTTCCTCCATAGTTGGGAAGTATACAACAAGCTGCCTGGGCAATTAAAATTGTGATCACTGCATCAATATATAAATGTTTATCTTTCATATTTACACACAATGGGTAAAACGCCGAATATAAACAAAAACAAATGTCAACCATTTTAGGTGTCATCGCGCATGGTTACAGAATTTTACACGGAAATCTATAAATTTACTTTTTACAAGACGCACAAATCGTACGGGCACGACTACGGGAGGAAGGAAGGAAGGCAATCTATAATTTAGGCTTTATTCATATTGCGATTTAGGGATTTATTCTGCAGTTGGTAGTACTAAATGTCAAATTAACCTCAAGTGTCAAAATACAATAATATTAGGACATATTAGGACATGTTTTGTATACAAACTGACTTTCCAATAGTAGTGACATTGTGTTGCTAAATTTGTAGAAAAAAAATCCTCAATGATAACTGTCACTAAAGTGACACACGCAGGCACTTCGGCCGGAAAGTGTTACCCTTTCGCACCCGTTACCGTCGAGTGCGGAAAGGACTCTCCGCGCGTGTTAGGTACAATATTTTTTCTACAAGCAAGGGAATCTCGCAATTTTCTTCACCAATTTCCATTTCTTAAAAAAATATTTTGCATATTTTCGCACGCATTTTCTTTCTGTACTGTCGACCGTGCGAAAAGTATGCTTGTAGAAAATGGTATACTAAAAAACGAATATGCCATCATTTTCTCGCACGAGGACAAGTTTACAAAATGATCGACGAAGAAGTTACAAATGTCAGCTTTACGTCTGTCATTAGCAACAAAAAAAATCGCTTGAATAAAAAGCTAATTAGGAACACTGTATTACAATTATATTTATTGACGTTTCAATAATAATGGCATTTTGTGTTGCCAAATATATTGCTCATCTATTTGCGTATCGTAATGAGATATTATAAAACGCAAATAATATAGAAAATAAGTTAATTTCACTCAAGTTATCTAAGTAAGGGCCCTCGCGACATCTTTCGATATTTTTGTTGGGTATCTCTGAAAATAACACATTTAAATGGGTTTCCGGTTTGTTTCTAATAATGTATATATCTATGCCTGGGCCATTGATAATGCACGAGATTATTTTACGTCAATCAAAAGCACGTGGCTTAGTAAAAGCCCTGCTGTTACAAAAAAAAAGTTTTTTAGAAAGTTGACATATGAATTATTAGGAATTTCAAACTGCATTTGTCAATGTCAGAGGTCATGGTTAGAACTCGCAACACAACAAAACAATTATTTATTTTTTTATACCAAAGAATATCTATTATCTTGGTCGATATTTGCCCATTGGATCAAAGCAGTTGATGTTCAAATGGTTTGTTATCTTGTTGTCTTGTTGTTTATATTCAGGCCCATAGCCTCAGCAGACTATCCAATAATAGTATTTTCTTCATACCTTGTTCGAAAGTACTTACTTTCGTCCCTAATAGCAGGGACGAAAGTTTAACATTTACTCCCTGTGCTATTAGGGACAAAAGTACATACTTTCGACCGAGGTAAACTTTCGTCCCTGCTATTAGGGACGAAAGTAAGTACTTTCGACCGATGTATGAAATCTCGGTCCTGCGCGTCATCATGACCCGCAGGGCCGAAAATTCAACTTTCGGCCCTTGTAGTGTAATATACTATTTTTTCCAATTATTGGTTTCCGTTTTCCAGTGTCGATTTGGATTTAAAAACAGCCGTTGTGATGTAATATTTTTGCCTCGTTTTTATGAAAAAGGCGTACCAGTTTCTGCCTGGTTGCGTCGCGGGCATCTCGGGCAGTTTTAAATACTATGCTGCTAAACGGGCCAATCATAATCTTAGTCGCTATAGTACTTATCTTGTAAAAGTTTGAAAAAACGTTCCACATAGTTTTTTTTATTTAATTATGTCCCATCTTTTACTATCAATATCTCTTATTCTACGCTTCTATTTAACTCATATTTTCGTTCATAGCAAAATATTCCCCTCTTGTATTTGTGACGGTCTGTGGTATTTTTTTTAATTGTTTGTTAATTAGCGCATTAATAGATTGAAAATTCGCATTGCCAAAACCTAACATTTCGAAATTTATTTGAAATATAAAGTTGGCAGTGTGTGTGGCATAGTGATTAAAAACATTTTTTTTTGTATATTAAAGGAAAGTCGCCTAATTTCAGATACCTTTTCAAAATGTTCAAAATTATTTGGATAAAATAATTTTTTAATGCTTTATCTATTGGCTAGTATACAATGCATTGCAAAGAAACAAATTTTAAAATCAAAAAAATTTTATTACAAAAAATGTTTTAAAAATGAGGTTTTTGTAGTAATTGCAATTTTTGCAAATTTAAAATTGGGCTCCCAATTTCGGACACCCTATCCGAAATTAAAAAAAAACTTTTTTTAGTAACAAAATATTTATTAGTCCATGCATCATAAATGGAATAAAATCAATGTAGTTTTGACAAATACAATGTCTTAAACAAACATTTACCTTGTAATACAAATACAAATTTTTACAACGAATATTTATAAAATAATACGGCTTAAACTATGACCAAAAAAAACTACGAAACGTGGTTCCGATATTTACCACTGCCATCTAATGGAGAGTGATTAGTATCATCTAAATAACACTGGATATGCTTGCTTGGACTTTTTAGATTGCATTAGAGTCAATTTCCGTTTAATGATTTGATTAGTTTCAAAGATACACCACTATCCGAAATTAGGCGCCTACTTGAAATTAGGCGACTTTCCTTTATAAGAATTATAAATTTCTAAAAAGGTACTTTTGAAAAAATATCTTTTATAAGTTTTATCTTGCAAACCTTTGTTGTTAATGAACTTTAACGAGGAATTTAAACTGTATTATTTTTCAGAATTGTCAACATTTGCTTGGCCACCTCACGTCTTGTCATTGCTGATGAATCTCGTAACATAATTGACATAGCAGGTTTGGACGAGGGAGTACCAAAAGTTTTGCACACCTTTCTGAATGGAAAGTTTTGCTAAAATTTTTAAACAAAACAATAAAAAAATATTTTTTTTTTATTATTTTGTATAAAGTTAAATAGTTTTTAATTATTTCTATTTACAATATATCGTAGTTACTGGTTATTTGGGGAAATATATGATAAATAGATTACTTAAAATAAATGCAAAAAGGCGTTCATTTAAAATAGCTGGTTCTATTTGATTTTGAAAAAACTATTTATCTTTTTGATAAACAAAATAAATTTCCAAAATGTTTATTTTGAAGAGAAATTCCTAAAAGAGACTTAAGTGTTTTCTAAAAAGTTAATTACTTTTACATAGGAATTTTCATTACTCCCTCTACCTCAGTTCAACATGTTAGATGACAAATTGACTTAAAGGGATTTGACTGTATATTTTCCCACATAACATAAAATATAAGTAAAATTGTTTTTAAGATAATTAATTAAACCTAGCTTTAAAAATACGAAATATCAATGATACATTAGACAATTTCATGAAAAGATAGTTAAAATCGAAATTTACTAAAATTGACTGATACGATAAATACTTAATTTTTAAAAACCGAATTTTTTATTGATATTTTGATGTTGGCATTATTTTATATTTTAAATATAAAGCATGCTCTAGAGATATGGGAAATATGGTTTTAATTTATAGGCACATTTTTTAAAATAGATTTAAAAACCTATTTTATTACAGTTTATGTGTTAAAATTGCATGTTATAGGGTTGTTTTTTACTAGTCAAAATGTCTTAAAATATAATTTGTGATCTTGAATTTTTGTATCTCTTTAAATCTCAATACGCTTTTACACAAAAACATTATTTACCAACTTTTTTTTTATAAATTATACTATTCTTTACAATAATTTAGTAAATAAGTAGTCGTACTCAATATTTTTAGTACCTAATAGCTGGCCATACACAGACGTTATTGCGCGCGGTTTATCGTGTTATCTGCAAAAACATATGAAAAATCATGTACGTGAGTGAGTATCGCCGCGCGCAATGATATAACGGGAAGGGATTTCAGACGTGCTTTCCTCTGGAGTGTGGAGTGTCCACACGCCACATTCCGCGTCACGGTTTACCTTTGCTTGGCAAAATTTCACGTTGAAAATTTGTACATGAGCACATGCAGTTTCAAACAACTCGATAAATGACACTTTTTGCCCACTCACATACGATTTTTCCTTTGAAACTGATATACCACGGGCAATCACTTTCTAAATCATTTAAATACTTTATCAAGTGTATGGAACATGACGCTTTTTTTGCCATGCCGTTCTTTCGTGCATGCAAACCGCTACATCCCAACACGCCACGATAAACCGCGCGAAATAACGTCTGTGTATGGCCAGCTAATAACCTAAGCAACACAGTGCTTATAACAAACATGGTTGCTTTAATATTTGTATAGATCTTTGACTAAAGTTTAAGTTAAGTAATTAATTTAAAAAAATGCTTTGTTTTTTATTAAGCATACGACAGAACGACAAAATTACGACAAAATTTGATTTTTTCGCTCCCATAAAAATTCCTATAGATTTTGAAAATAGACTTAAAAAAATTATACCCGTTTCTCGGCATTTTTTCACATCACGTCATTTTTTTATTTGCAATTAAGTGCAATTCAATAAAATGTTATCCACGGTATTCAACACATAAAATAACAGCTTCGATAACAGCTAGACTGTATATTTCGAAGAAAAATGTATTCACTGAATAAATGGACAAACATTAAAATTATTTATTTATTTTAAAATTATTTTAATTATACATTTACGAAATACGGGTGTTTTACGTGGTCCATTAACGGCAAAAGATATCGATTTGAAATTTTTAAAGCGTTTATTATTCAATTAAGTATATTTTTCTAAAATATTTTAAACAAAATGCCACTTCCGGTTTGACCTTTGTTATTTTAAAATAAACACCCCCATATATTTTTACATTTTTAAATTCGAATAGTAGATCTACATAAAATTTTGAGTTAAATTATATCCTATACCTAAAGTGAATAGTTTTCGAATTATTTTCGTTAAAATTTGACAAATGCGCGTCAATCAAAAATTTTGCTATTAGGTTCGCCGAAATGGGGGTGGAATTTTTGGAATCTTAAAACATTGTTTAAAAGATTCGATGTCAATTCTTTAACATTTTTTAACAAATTACCCAAGAAAACCCAGGGCAAATTAGGCTAACTTGAAACGTTAATAACTTTTTTTAACAAATTACCCAAGAAAACCCAGGGCAAATTAGGCTAACTTGAAACGTTAATAACTTTTTTGTTTTGAAAGAAACACCCTATATGTTTTTACACAATGAAATAGAAAATTAAAAAACATTTCAATTGATGTAATTGTTAAATATCTCTGAAACTATTAACTTTAGGTATAGGGAACTCGACAACTATTTACTTTAGGGTATTTCCACAAAACCTTACCCCACCTTGACAAAAAAACAGATGTGTTATTTAACAAAATAAAAACTATATCTGAAGTAAAATAGTTTAATTGCGACGTAATTTATAACCTTAAAATATTCGTACATTGTGATGGTAAGAAGCTAACATAAAGAATAAACAAGGAAGAGTTTAGAAAATAAACTATTCAATATTTGTGCATTTAAAATACGTGCTTGTTGTAAGGTTACTATTCAAGTTTCACACAAAAAATTATTGCTATATGCTTTCATCAAAAATTTTCTAAGGTCGCGGCCGTTACGCTATTCATGACGTTATAAAAAGTTTTCTATACAAGTTTTTATTGATATTTTGTTTAAATTAAATACCTAATTTTTTAAACTATTTTTTTATATTAACGTATCTTGATATATATGAACACTTTATTACCATTAAAAAACGCAGTTTTAGTGTCGCACCCGTTACAATGGAAATAGCCTTTAGGTATAGAAAATGGTATAGCAATTTTACTTAGAATTTTATGTAGAATTTAAAAATGTAATAAAATATGGGGGGTGTTCTATTTGAAATAACAAAGTTTTGGTCAAACCGACAGTGACATTTTGTTCAAAATATTTTAAAAAATAAAAGATTTAAATGGATTATAAACGCTTTTAAATTTCAAATCCATATTTTTTCCGTTCCCCAGAAACTTCCAATGGACCGCGAATGAAACACCCTGTATATCAAGTGGTATTTTTTAGGTTGTTATACCACTATAGATTCTAAAGCAATGTATAATCGTCAAACTAAAAGATCAAGATTTAAATCTTAAGCAATTGCTTCCAACATATATTTAATATAAGATAAATACAAATCTGTTGTTTTATTAAAATAAAATGAAAAATTAAAACCAGAAATATTTTTTTTTACTTAAAAAAATTAAAATTGTTATTTTCTTTCAGTATAATTTTTGTATTATGTAAAAACATAAAATATTTGAAGAAAAAAATTATTTACAACAAAATAGAGAATTAAAAATCTGTTTAGTTTAAAATAATAAGAATGGCTGTGTAAAAAATGTGATTTCGTGAAACGGTGAGACACGGGTACGTTTTTTTAACCTTTATTTTTAAAATCTGTTAAAATTTTCATGGGAGGAAAATCGTGTTGAACTGTGTTATTTAATGAGTCCACTAAAAAACCTTAAAAATTAATTATACATTTAAATTAATTTAACTCACGGTTTAATATTGCTGTTCTAACTAGTGATTTAAAATAATATGTACTATATATATATGTACTAATTTTTATAATTACAAGCTGGAAAAATTAAATTATCTTTTAAAATGTTTTTTAACTAGTCAAAAGTATATGGCTCTAAATTTGCAAAATGTGCAAAACTTTACAAAGACATGACTAAATTTTTAGACATATTATGGCAATGCTGTAAGTCTAGAATTTTAAAAAGATAAAGTTAATTAATACATTTATTATTTCGTATTTTTTATTAAATTAATTGTTTATAAGTATATTTTAATAAACAAATGAATGGAACAAATATTACTAGGATTGTAAAAAAGTATACATAACTTTGACAATTACATTTTGTAATTTTTATTTCTTTATAATTTAATACCACGGTTTTATAAAGATCTTTCAACTTACAAGACAAATTTCAATCCGTACCAAAAATACAAAATCTGCAATAGATTAATTAATTTACGAATGATTTCCACTATGGATGGTTGAAATTTTTAAAGTGTCCATGCATACAGCCATTTGCCATATGGTGCTATAAATGGAGTTTGAATAATGAAAAATATATTATATTACCTATGTATTATCAAACGGGTAAAAGATTAATTAATTTTTAAAGTTATATGGATGATTGGAAGAAGTTAATTGTAACAAAATGGGAAGAAGTATACATATATGAATACATAATTTGAGAAAAAATGTTTTAAAAACAAATCGAATTCATAAATAAAATAAAAGTGTAAAAATGTGATAAAGAAAAATTAAAGCACTTTCACTTGATAGTGAAAAAAATAATAAATATTGAAAAAACTATAAAAAATAACAATATATTTATTATATTATAAAAATAATTGAGACCCTTGATCATAGTCTTCTTCTTAATTCTTTGTGGCTAAAAGCCTTAATGATTTCGGCATCAATGTAAATTTTTACCAGCAACAAGTTTTAACGTCCATGCGCTTCACGAAGCCATCCACCCATAGACACATGAATTTTCCAAATCTTGAATCATCTACAAAATACCTCGCTAAAAGGACAAAGCATATATTGCCCAAAAATACAGGTATATTTCTATACCCGGAATCCAATTTTGCCCGTCCTGGCCCAGGAGTCCTGTGTCGAAAAGTCATTTATGTTTCATACTTTTTCATTGAGCTAAGCGTATCCCACGAGCACCAAAACCGAATCACCTTGATCATAATACATTTTTTTTAACATAATAAGCTTGCCAAATAGCTTTTAATTAATCTAAAGGCCATTACCCCTGAACACAGTGCTCTTGGTATAGATTGATGAATAAGATCTATAAACTTTACCTACATCTTGTGGCGTGCACGTTGGTTTTGTTTACGTTAGTATTTGAGACTAGAAAATTAGCTGAATTTACACTTTTATTTGACAATAAAACTGAACAAAGAACAACACATACGTGAACAGCTCATTTCGCCGTTTATTGAATAAACTTTATTCCCTATGAATAAAGAATTTTTCGTCTCTTAGAGCCCCAAGCCTCTCAGCACGTGTAAAGGCCCACTTAGAAACTCAGACTTGCATGACCTGTTACTGTTACAAATTACTAAATCAGCTAGCCTTTGACTTCATGCATGAACTAAAAATATAATACAGTTTGTTTTTTTTATTCGGAATTTGACAACGTCAAAAATTTGGGGGTTTAGCTGGCAAATTTTTTAATAATATTCGGTTTGCCCATCTCCAATTTTTTTTAATGAGTTATTTACACCAATAAAATCAAAATATTACGTAGTATATTAGTGCAAAATTATATCCCAACAAAAATGGCTATTTCCAAGGAAAATAATTCATTAAAGTTTTATGTTAGTTTCAATACCGGCCATCTCCATCTCCTTTTAAATATATGTTTTTTTAATTAAAACTATTTTCAGTTACTATATCAACACGTTTTTCAAAATATATTTTTTTACCTGTTACTATTTAGAATGGTTTTTTGACGTTTACCTACCTAAAATATTCTTCAAATGAGATGGCCGCTTATGTACAGAAAAAGATAGTAAATGGTATATTTTACTTGGTATCCAAGGGATATAACTGAATTGTAAGCAAATCATCTTGAAAAACCAAGTCATAAAACAACAAACAATTTTGACTCCAAATTGCAAGTGTTTTTTTTTACTTTAAACATGATTATCTCAAAACCAAACAAAATGTACTTATACCCTTTGGCTTTTAGGGTCCTCATGTGTGAATACTTAAATTTTGTACTATGGTGAATGGGTCTTTCACTCAATTGAAGTCAGTAAGCGGTAATACTTCTTAGCTTGTTAATAAGGATTATATAACTCCAAAAATATTTTTTAGCTGGTTAATCTTTGCCTCCTCTGTGGCATTAGGAATTATTTCATCAAAATCTTGTTTTGTTTTTAAAATTTCTTTTCGTTTAGAATTTTTTGTTATCGTTGGCATTTTTTAATATTATTCTAATAAATGTCCAAGTATTTAAAATGAAGGCTATGGACAGGAGTGCCAATTTTAAATATTAAAAATACCAAAGTATATTGACATACACTACCAACATAAAATGTGTCAAATTCCAAAAAAAAACTATGTATTACAAAATGTAAAAATTATATATTCTTTGTTACAATCCAAGTCTTGTATCATCACTTTTTTCATTAAAATATACTAGTGTGAATAAAATAATAGCTGTTTTCGCGGTGCTAATCCCAAACTAGTTTGGCAAGGGTATTTTAAAGTTTGCCATGCGCATTTTACATTTTTAATACAAAATTTTAAAAGGTGCATGCCTAGGATGTGCGAAGTTTGGGATTAGTTACGCGAAAACAGCTATAAATTATTTCGAAAATTAATAAATAAAATTATTAACGGAAGACTAATGGAGTAGTTGTAAAGGTTTTGCTCTATAAAAGAGTTGAAATATTATTATATTATTTACGACCCGGGACGGATAAAATTGTATTCCTCCCCAACACACAGATATTTATCGAAAATTTATAGATATAGAGAAAAGTCAAATAACAAAAGGGATGAATAAAGATTTAAAAATTATAGCATTCAAAAGATATAATATTTTATACCAAAAATCAATAATATATAGAAAAGCATTAAGTGGTAAACTTTATAAATAAAACAAAGAAAAAGGATAATACCGTAGCTGTTTATGTTGCCAAGCCAGATGGACCCAACCAAGTCGGAACGGCCGACTTTTGATGGTTCTATAGCCATAGTGGCTGAATCCAAAGAACGGAAAGAATAAGCGGAAAATGTATTAAGGGCAGACATTTAGCGTTGCCATAATATGTCTAAAAATTTAATCATTGTCTAAAATGTTTTGTCATTAATTATATAATTACTAAAAATCATTATGTTTTATGCAAAATATTATATTTTGTTATGAGTTTCATGTTCGGTTCACGACACCCAGATAGCACAACGTGACGAAACCGTGACGATTTGTGTCCATTGTGTCCAATTGGAAACAAAGCGTCACGTTGTGCTACCTGAGCAGCTCATGCTAGCACGGGAAAAGCTTTTACTGCCCTGCAATAATCGATATATTTATTATATGTCTTTCAAAACAAACATTTACACTCTCTTTAAAATGATTTCTTACGTTATTGAATTTTCAATGTTGAATACATTATTTAATAATTGGTTTTTATAAAAAAAGAGTTCAATAATTATTGTCCATGCCTTTTTGTGCTTACATGAGTAAACACTTTTTCTGTGCAGTATACAAAAATAATCAACCTATTTTCATCTAAGGGGTCGTTCAAAATGTACGTCACACGTTTAAGTGGGAGGGGGGAGGACCGTTTGTAAAGAAGTGTGACATGGGCGAGGGGGGACTGGATCGTAATGTATGTAATGAAAAATGTATTCCGTCTTTATGCGTAGGACCTTAAGGGGGGCGAAACTTTATGACATTATGTGACGGGGTGGTTCTTAAATTCTTAAAAAAAACATGTGACGTACTTTAAAGACGACCCCCAAGTATAAATGGAAATATGGAAATGTACTATATTGTATATTGTTGATCTTAAACCACGTATATAAATTTTAGTGTTCACAAAAATGTATTTAGATTAACTATAGTAATTAATTTATAAGATCTATTATTTACTTACATTTGAAGTATATTGTTTAAAAATATCAATTTATTTATCTAATTAATATTTACCTTTCTGTGAATTGTTTTATCAATATTTTGGTTTGAATTAATTCGTCAACAAAATATTTTCTGTTGCTCTTATCTATATGTATAACAATATGTTGTAATCAATATAATAGTTGTCCTTAACAATTAACTAATCATATATATAATTTTTAAGTGGAATTAATTAGGTATTATAATAATAATTATTATAATTATATAGAAGGATGCTATTACTTTGACCACTGTATTCATATTTTAGTTTTTAATTATTATTAAGGTATGAAAACATTATTTTTAAAGAGATTAATTAATTTTAATTTAATCAGTAAACCAAAATATACCTGTACAATTTTTGTGATTGAAACAATAAACTTTAACTCAAAAGTTACTGTGAAAAGAGGCTGTAAAATTTTTGTTTGTTAAACTTTTATAGTAAATTTATGTCTGGCATAATAAATATGTAATCTTAATCCATGTTTTTGTTTTGCATGCAAAGTTTTATTTTTATTTATTTCACATAAATTGGTAACATTGAATCAATGTCATAGATACACTTTTGGTTTTGTTAACTTTTATTTATGTTACTCCAACTTTTATTTATGTTAACTCCAACTTTAAATAAAACTACGGTTTTGATTGTTGAAGGTTTATTTATTATAAATTATTTTATACACATAGAAAACAATATTTTTAAGGATATGTAGGAAAAAAGCAATAACATTAATATTGACTATAAGCATACATACTTTTGAAGTCTGATGCAAGCTTTTATTAAAGGATAATTTATTATTACATTTATACAGTTGATTATTTGGCCTTTTCATACCTCTACCAGTGTACAGTAGTGGAATAGTATAGGGTCTATAAACAAACCTATATAATATATAGCAAGTGATGTTAACATGTTCCTGTTTTATAAAGCTACAAGCGGAATATTATTAAATCTTATCATTTATTTGGTAATTAAAATAAAACACTTAACAGATAAATTTTAAAATTGTGTTTTATTAAAAAACGTATAGGACGAAGTTTTTGGCAATAAAATAGTTTGATAGGTACCTACTATTTTTTGTTATTTTAAATAGATGAAATATTTGTTATTTGTGGATATTTCAGGTCTTAGACATTAAGAAATCTTGAAACAACAAAGCTATAAAACAGCGTTAATTGAATTCAGAGATCATCATTTAAAGGAACATATAAAAATTGAATACATACAAATATATACAAAATAAACCTAAATAAAATACGTTATTGTACACTTAAATATTTTGGAGATTGTCTTTATTTTTACCTGGTAACATTTTAGCTTTTCCTAGATAAATATTTAACATTAATTATATGCAAAGTATCACAATCGTTAAGCAAAATTTAAGCTTATCAAATAAGTATATAGAAAAAACAATAAAAACAAGAAAAATAATACAATAAATAAAAAGTACAAATCACAAACAAATTACTCTTGCTATGCACAACTTTGACTATGCTCCAAAGTAATACCGGCCACTTTACTCCCTTGCTCCACCCAATTTTTTAACCTACCCCTCAGCTCTTCCAAGCTTTTCGATTTCGCCTTATTTATACGCTTATATTTTACATCCTTTGGTTTCGTTACCGATCTGTGATTCGACATCACCCTGTTATAAGTTTTAACTTGATTTGTTGTCTGTGTTTTTCCAGAATTTTCTTCCTGTGGGGATTCATCTGATTTATCGTCGTTTTTCGACCATTTATAACTGTACACTTTCTTTTCTTTACTTCGTTCCTTCGTGTTCGGTTTTTCATCGTCACATGGTTTAGTGGTTTTACCTCCACTGCTTGCGAACGCGTCCCTTTTTTTATTCGCTTCTGTTTTTTCGTCTTCTTTGCCTTCGTGGTTTTCGTTGTCTGCATCTTCTTCCACGCTGTAGACGGTCTCCAGGACTTCAGGTCTTCGCAGATACCCGTTACATCTCCTCATGCAATACTTCGAGTAGTTTGGATCAATAGCGTCCGATATAGAACGCATCACTGTAATTCCATCGGAACGGTACCTGGGCACATGATAAATGTTACTGTCACTATCAACGTCCTCCATCACCACGGCACTGTCGGAATCGTTGAGGGAATCCAGGTCTGGCAAGTTGATGTCGATATCCGTTAATTCTGACTGCGGGATCTCCAGACCGTTGTCCACAAGTCGGTTGGTCAGCGTTTCAATTAGTTTTTGTTGCCGATGAATTATCGTCTCTCTGAGGGTTAGCATGTTTGATATGTCCTTTTGTTTTCTGATTAGTCTTGATTCGAATAATAGTAGTTTTGAACTAAGGGCCTTTAGTTGATCGCATTTCTCTCTTTGCAGTCTGGACACGAACGATTCCTGAAACAATAAAGCGAAATTATACTCTCTCCCATTCGAGTTGGATAAATGTTTTCGATCGATGGTAACATATTTTATTGTTGACGGTTTTATTGAATTTTCAGACGTGTGGGGATGTTCAATTCAGTTTTTAACAATGACAAAGTCACACTGAATCAGAGGCAGATACATAATTTATTTTTGAGTAGGCGGGGGCGAGAGCCCAATTTTTTTATTAGAAATCTTTTTCAAACAATCTTTTTTTACAAACGTACAATGCTGTAACAACTTAAACAACTCTGAAAGTGAGATTAAGTTGCATTTAGAATTAAGTGCGCTTGTTTCTCCACAATAACTGCCAACTCTAACGTGACTCACACTAGAGCGGGTTTTAGTCGTCATAATGTATTTTTTAAATGGTGGCATTGTTTTATTAATAAATTGCTGGTTACTGCCCAGTCGGGTTTTGTAACGCATGGGGTGCGCCATTGCTAGGGCTTCTAAAGTGGAACCTTCACTCAACGGTGGAACCGTAGGAATAGTTAATTACTATTGAATTTGACATCACTGCCTGGTGTGGTGTATATTAAAATGTGCTATACCTTAACGTCATTTATTCATCATTAAATTTTAATGAAAATTTGTTACAGATGTAGATACTGGTGGCTTAAAGTTTCTTAAGAGTTTTATTCTTAGCTTAAGTGGCAGTAGGTACGTTATATCCCTATTGTAAATGACCAATAAAATCCAACAAAAAATAAGTAATTGGTTTGAATTGGTTCCAGCACTTGAGAAGGCACCACGCGAGAGCGAAAGCTCTTAAAACGTAAAAGTTTAAAGATTAAAACCAAGAATAATTTTTAAAAAGTGCAAACCAATTATAGTGAATGAAACAAGCAATTTTCAAAAAGTGCAAACTAAAATGGTGTAACGGTCAATGAGGAGTGAAGTGTTAAGTGATATGAATTTGCCACCTGTCATTTGACGCTTTTCACTGGACAAACAAAGGAGGTCAACAAGAGGGGAGATGGCCATCCGCAAAAAATTGATATGTAACCTTAAGCTTATGCATGACCTAAAACATAATCTGCAAATTAAACACGACAGATATCTTTAAAACCCTAAGAAAGGCACACTGCGTAGGATAATAAATCTGTCAACAACAAATGCGTAAGGCAAACCCAAACGATCGAGACCAATAATAAACACTAGATACACATAATAAACTAACACATTAATCATTATAACCCTAACATAGTAAAAAAAGCATAATAACCAAACTCTACTGGATTTGTAAACATTAGAAAACAGAATAATTGCGCTTGTCATTTGTTTAACTAATAAATAAATGCAATACTTAAATTTGGAATTTAAGAAAAAAAAGACAAACTCTACCACAAAACGTGCTTGGGACAAAAATTACGCAAACTTGAACGGAAGGTTACTACACTACTAACAATAGACTTACCCGACTACCATCACCAACATCCTCGCGACCTGCTAATGGGCAAAACCATTACCAAAAGGGTAAGAGTAGCCCAATTAAAATACTGGGCCCACGTCACTCGTAGGCAACGCAACAACATACTTCAAGCCTCCCTTTAACTAGACCTTACAGACAAAAAAGTCGAGAGACCATTTCATGATACGTTATCACAAAACATGCACTTCTCACAAATTAACAAGACCAGTTGGGATCAACTAAGCAACAATAAAAATAAAATAAAAAAAACAACTGACACAGTTTACCAAGTGCAGGAACTGGACACGGACAATGACAATAACGAACAAGACGAAGACCTCGACTAGGAAACTACACCCCTGCAGCGAAATAACAACTCCCCAACTCCAAATAGTAATCCCAAATGTTTGGAGTAATACTAACCGACTGGTCTAGGGGGATTCCGCGTCGTACTTAGTTTTAAGTCGGCGTAATTGTCCCCCAAAAAGCAACAAACGTCTATCCCTCCTGTCCCTCCTCCTCTATACCCTACTGGGCGTAGAGCATCGGCTCGGCGAACCCGAGAATGGCTATTAAAACTATTCGCATGTCGCTCTCGAGCCCCAAATAGGGGATAGTACCGAACGCAATGGACATTCGCACCCAGCAAACACGGGTGAAGCCGTGCAGTTGCTGGGGGCGAACAAAAATCGGCGTAAGTAAACATAGGCCTGTACGGGGTCCGGGAGTGATGAGGCAATGGGGCTGGTTATATGTCTCTTATACTCATACTCATACTCATTGGTTTGAATTGGTTTGAAATGTTTTGGCGCTATGAATCACCAATTCATTCCAGTTGCATTCCTATTGGTAAGTTCCAATGAAGTCAGCGGCTTAAATTGGAATATACCAATCCATGCCTATGCTTGTCTCTATTGGCTAAAACCAAGTGAGTAACTTTATTTCTTTATTATTTTTTTGTGTCAGTGAGATATGTATTGATACATATAACTTACTAACACAAAAAAGTAATAAAAAATAAATAAAATTACTCGGTTATAATCATTTTTTTGTCTTTCTTGCAGGCATGGTCGAAATCAATATTATTTATGTCAATTTTTTTTATTTTGTCCGCTGTAACCACCATTCTCACGCCATAGACCCTAAACCTTAGACCTATAAACATTTTTTAAGGTATGAGTACACACCACTATAACTACATAACTACCACTAAGCACAGAAACCCATAGATTATAAAAGAAACCGACTAATAAAAACGACATTAAATAGCGTCCAAAGACTTGTTTGTTTCTTTATGATGGCGTCTCAACCATTCGAACAATGACTGCGTACCCTCTTGCGATGTTTTAAAGTATTGGGAATAATCAATTAGCAGATTCCTTTCTAGAATCTTACACTGGGAATGCCCAATTAAATTCAGTTGGAAATTACCTATTGGTAGCTTTAACCACTCAAAACCACTAAAAAATAGTAGAATCCTAATCGCACTTTTCCATCATGGAAAATACCAGTAAAAACCAATTTCTGTTTTATATCGCTCCCAATTTAACCCAGTAAGTCCAATTCAGACCTATTGATACCAACCAATACTTCAATTGGTTTCTATAAGGAATTAATCGGTCATTTACAGGGATATTTAATAAATAACCAAAAAAAGGTTTTCATTATACAGCTCTGGAAGGTGAGCGACCGCCCCCCCCTATATTCGTCCCTACAATAGGTCATTAATTACAAAAACTTTTGCGATTTTATTATTTTAATTAAACAAGGAAAATTAATGTGTCCTTAACACGTACGTGTCATACATAATAAATTTTAAATTAAAAACTTGAAGAATGTGGCATCTGTACAATTTTAACAATTTGTTATCCAGCATTGTTTTATATTGTTAGAAATTCCATTTCGTCATTGTTTAAATTTAAATACAATACCCAAGCAACAAGTGTTGCCAAAGTGACATGAATTAATGTTCTTTTTAAGTTACATAAAATCAGTCTTTTAAATAGTAGGTAAGTAATGCATTAATCAAATTATTTTTTTTTGTTAAAATAATTGTAATAATTATTGTTTGTTATTATTTTTAAAATAATTATTATAATTAATATAATATTTAATTGGAAATCTTGTTTATATTTATAACATGTTGAATAGCTATTTTACTGCAAGGTAGACACAAACTTTTCTAGGGTAATTTAGGCATGCTCAATACAAATAAACAGATCTGTTTATTTATCTGTACAACTTTTTGAACAAATTCGAATTTGTTCAAAAAGTTGTACAGGCACTGGAAGCGGAAATGACTGTAACTACAAATTTTAACACACGCGGTTAATTTTAGTGCCATTCTAACATAATAAAGTAAGATAAAGCTATAAATTAAGTAAATCGAACAAAAATTATTGGTGTAGAGTTCGACGCGGTAATTACCGCAGGCTGTATAGTCTTATAATAAGGTGACCAACTCTCCTGAAAGAAAAACCAGAACTCTAATAAAAAATCTGTATTATTTATAAAATGTTTACATGTATTTCTATTAACATAATATTATTACAAATTAAGATTTTTTAAAACTATATTTTTCTTGGGAGTGAATTTTTTTTATTAGAACTTCATTTTTTTAAAGCATGTTTGATCGAAATTAGTTTTAACAATTAATAATGATTTTAGTGTTTCAATACGCAATTGTGATTTGTCTTTTGTCCAAAAGTTGTTCATATTGGAAAAAACTTTCTCTACAGGACTATTTGTTCAAGATAAACACAACAATATGGGTGCCTAATTCTTTTGCATGTCTGCATTAAAGATGCATTAATAATGATTTTAGTGTTTCAATACGCAATTGTGATTTCTCTTTTGTCCAAAAGTTGTTCATATTGGAAAAACCTTTCTCTACAGGACTATTTGTTCAAGATAAACACAACAATATGGGTAGATAATTCTTTTGCATTTCTGCATTAAAGATGCATTTTCTTCTTTACAGGGGCATCTCATTTAGAGTTTGAAATATAAAAAACAATGGATATTACAATATTTAACCACAATAAAACGCGCAGACGTCAGGGACATGCGCAATACTAAAATAGTTCAGAACTATTAGTTCGTTTGGGGAGAGCCAAGTGCGAACGCCAACGCGAATGTATTTAGTGGGAGTAGGGCAAAGTGGAAAATATAATTTTATGTTTATGGCTTAATTAGTATTGTAGGTATAAAAACAGAAAAACGCAGAAAAGCTTTTGAAAAACAGAACTTTTACTTTACTTAATGTACAACCAGAACATGGTTCTCAAAAACAGTAGGTATAGTTCTGGTTAAATCAGAACGGTTGGTCACATTCCCTATTAAAAATGCCCTATAGAACCCATATTGATCCAGATAAGGAAACTAATATGGATTTATATGGTTCTATATGTCCTATATGGAACGACCTGGTTTACACTTTAGAATCTATATGGTTTAATATGGAATTTCATTTTAAAATGTACAACTTAGGGATTTTTATATGGATTTATCTGGTTTCTGTTTTATGTGTCTTTCCATATAGGTTTCCCTATATGGTTGAATATGGAATTCCATTTTAAAATGTATATATATTTAAACGAAAATTGCATATTAAACCATATAGATTCCCTTATATGGTTAAATATGGATCTATATGGTAATAATTTTTTCACACCCAAACCATATTGGGCCAGATAGAGCAATATGAACCTATATGGCAATCCATATAGAAATCACTTTTCTATATGGTTTTCCAGGTATGGAATTCTATCTGGTTCAATAGTGCAATGCCTGTTTCAAATTCCTATATTGAACCAGATAGATTTTTATTTTGTATTGTTTGGCATTTTTAATAGGGTTATCTTATAAGGACGTTGCGGTGTCAATCTTAAGTTTAGTTAGATAGTGAAAACCCTTTGAAAACACGTACCTGCATTTTATACGCCCTTCTCCATGCCAAGATTTGTTGTGCTTGAGCTCTGGTCTTTTGTCTGAGCTCTCTGACCAATTTACGCAGATCGTCTGAGTTTTCAATTTCTACCAGGCTGGTAATATCTCCACTGCTACTTTCCGTAGGCGTTTTGCCCTCCATCAGGACGGATTTGGCAGAGCCTAAACTACCAGATCTGAAACAGAAAAAAATAACATACATTTTATATTTTTATTAATGTATTGCTTTGTAGGTGTTTGATGTTACAAACTTTTTTGTTGTCTCCTTTATTTTCGCCCAAAAACAAAATATTAAATAGAAGGCGTTAAAATAATTTAGTGTTGCCATGAGTACTTTATTAAACAAACTACATTAGACACCACTAAACACAACAATCCTAAAAAAGAAGGGGTATATGATAGAATACCAGACAAATCAAAAGAAAGGTATATTTGAAGTTTAAAAGTGGTTAATCGTTAAAAATATAACATATTAATACTAAGCACAAATCGTCGCTGTTCTGACAAAGAGGCGTAAGGGACATTTTTTCCATATTGGAGTTAAGTTCACTAAGTGATTTTTTACGGTTGAATCTATGATCTGACAAAAGCAAATAGATACATACATACATAATGTATGTATGGATGTATGTATGTATTTCATTTTGTTAGATCATAGATTCAAACGTAAAAAATCACTTAGTGAACTTAATTCCAATATGGAAAAAATGTTCCTTACGCTTCTTTGTCAGAACAGCGACGAAATGTGCTAACTACAATATTAGCTAATACAGTAGTTTCCACTTTTTGCTTAGCACGGCAGAGGAGATGCCCGATTTTGATTTAATTTCGATTAAATCTATGGTTTTAATAAAACACTCAGTTTTTTGTACCCACTGATTTAGTTGTAAAAAAAGTTTATAAAACTTATTGTAATGGTTCCGAAAAAGAAACACCCTGTATAAATTTATTAGACTACGTGTTATAATATATTTTATTTTTGTACTTTTAAAATAGGATTAAGTAATAAAACTTTATTTTTAAGGCAAGATAAATTTCAAATTTAGGTAGAAAAATTATCAAACAAACAAGAGAGGTATGCTTGGAGCTTGAAAAAGGGCACATCTGGCGTACACGATTGAGCGAGGAATTTCCACGAGAGGTAATCGAAGAAGGTTTTGGAAAAGGGGAACGGAGGGAGAAGCGTTTTGAATTTTGTGCAGTACAGTTCGTTTTCTTTGGTAAAAGTAAATTATTGTTCCAAAATCATTGTTAAAAGTGTTGTTAGTGTATTCTACAAGGTTAGTTCTAAATATTTAATCTATTTAAATGTGTAGTAAAATTAACTAAACGTAATATTGTGCATTTTCAAATTGTTAATATTATTATTATATAATTTACTATTACGTTTAGCTGTATTTTACGTTATTTTTAATCCTTTTCTTTTAGCTATTACCACCCCTATTCTCGCTTTTATTATTATCACTATAATTTTAACACTTTGCTATGCTCAATGCTTGTACCGCTCAAATGTAACCTTGTATTTTGTTTGTGCTTAACCCATCATTTTGTACCCTTTTCTATAACGTGGTTAAGCATTGTTTTATGATCAGTCCAAAGTTATTGATGTATTGCGAAATTACTCGGTGCTTAACCAGGAGTGCTGACCGTTATTGTCCAACTTTGAGTACTCTTTGTTTGTGTGCGTGGGCCTTTGTTGTATGAACTAATATTTTTCTCCCGTGAGAGGAAAAGGTTGTCCTCTCTAGGGTTGCATCGCTTTTCCCCGACCCTTCAACTAAAATAGGCGGGTTGCCTCCCATTGTGGACCTCGTTACATTCTGGGCCTAGCCCGGCTAACTAACCCCAATATTCTTCAGTTTTAAATCTTTGTTTAAATGCAGTATCGAGCCATATCGCCAATACATTAATTTGCGTAATTTTTAAAGTACAATGCCTGACCGCGTATTCCTTTGCTACTTCATAGCCGACCAGGGTTTTTTCTCAGGCTCTTTTTCCCTGGCCGAACCCTCCTAAGAGCCACCCCTTGCTTGTTTGTAAAAAGTTAACGTAAATTAAATTGGGGTAAATTAAGCCACTGTATTTTATTTCTTATAAACCTATTTCTCCCACGTATCATTCTTAAAGCAATGCATCTAATAAAACAAGTAAGTAAAGACAGCGTAGAGGTCCAAATTGGGGTAAGACGATCACGAGCCAAAGCCACAAAATATTTAATTTATCAATTTTTCATAAAACTTGTTTTAACGAACCTGGGGGTAAAGAGAAATCTTTACATTATCTTAGTTATAAAACTAATTTTTACAATAAAACTGTTGACTGTCGATCAACTGAACGATAAAACCGAGGATAAAACTTTCATTAAAATATACACGGTATTTTAACTTTTTTTTAATAATATCACCCCGTTAATTTAGTGTACAAAAACAAGGGACCATTTGAGAGAATAGTACTGATTCTTACTAATAATTACAAAATTATTTTGGTAAAGTCTTTTAAATTAGCACAGCATTTGAGTAAAAATCGAAAAAGATAGAACCCAGCAGGAGCAACATTCCCTTTTAATGGTTTTTTATTATTTGTGGGACTCTGCTGTACACATTTTTCGCCAAATACCTATCTAAGAATAAGTTAAAATGGATTTATCGGCTTTTGCATGTTTGGTCCACATGTATTCCGATTTTTTTATAATTTTTTTGTTACCTTCAATTTTATCAACATACATTTTTCGAAAATGTATTAGGCCACAAAAAAGAAGACTGGATTAACTTTTGGTCGACTAAATTTATGCGAAAAATTTTAAACCTAAATTTGCATTTTATTTATTAATTAATTAATTAATTAATAGAGATAAAATGCAAATTTAGGTTTAAAATTAACTTAAAAGCGGCCTGCAAAAAATAAAAGTGACAACTCATAAAACTTTTAAGCAGGTTTTGTTCATTATGTACTAAAAAACATTAAATCTTGATTAACTTTAAAGTTAACTTGGAAGCTGCCTGCAAAAAATAAAGTGCCAACTTATAAAACTTTTAAGCAGGTTTTGTTCATTATGTACTAAAAAACATTAAATCCTGATTTTCTTAATTTTAAAGTAAATCTTGTTGAAAGCTTATTAATGAATTTGTATTGGTTTTACTTTATATTTTTGGGGGAGATTTTTTTATAATTTTTTTGTTTCATTCAATTTTATCAATTGATGTTAACATACTTTTTTCAGAAAAATGTTAGGTATGACATAGCTTTCAAAGTGTTAATTTTAGATTCACAATTATAATTGTGAATCTATAGGCTATAGCCTTGTAAACTTTTTGAAAATATGTTAAAAATAATAAATTTTATTGTTTATAATACAAACAATGTTCTTTTAATATGAAGTTATTTTTAGGAAAATTATAATTTAAATTTAATATAGGTAGTGTCCCAAAAAATGGCGCATTAACCGTATACACCTGCAGCGCCCTATAATTTTTCGACAAGTAGTTTTTGAATTATATGGGTTTGATAATTGAATTTGATTTTTAATGTTTGGAGGCTATTTATTTATATAAAACTAACCTTTATCGTACATGTTTTTTCTTTTAAATACAAATTGACAAGTTGTGGCTTTATGGCCCTAGACGAGCTTATGTTGGCAACAGGTTTTTGGACACGGGCTGAAGTTAGTTTTAAGTTGGTTGACAGTTGTAAATGTCATATAATCGTGCCCTTATTTTATTATAACCCTAGGGTTAATACAAATATAAAAAAGTTTTAAATAATTTCTCAACGCCAATACCTATTTGAAAAGTTTATATGCAAGTTTGTACTGACCTTTTAATTTCTCCGAATGTAAACTAAATTTTAATAATAGAGCATTAAAAATTTCCGGTAGAGAATCCACCGTGAATTGCCATTCTCTTCAGTTTCACTGTAAAAAACTATTTCTATATCAGATTTAAACGGTATCCGAAATCTAAACCAACAAAGAAGTGAAAATTTAAACGGTTTGGGTCTTAACAAAAATGCTTCGTATAGAAGTTAGACCATGGTCAAATGCATTTGATTACATAAGTAAAGCCAGAAAAACAATGTTAAAGTTAGTTGAAAGTTGTCACACAATCGTCGAAATAAAGTGCCCTTCTTGTGAAATAATACTAAATGTTAAATAGTATATTCTGTAACAAGTTTGGAATACGGCATATTCCGCTCGAGTTAAAAGTTTGTCACACGAGCCAAAGGAGAGTTTGACGGGTTCACGAGAGCGGAATATGCAATTCTTAACATATTTCCGACTATCTTTTATACGTTTTCAAAAAATACCATAGAAAAATAATTTAATTGGGGGAAAGTGAGGTTGTATCGGTCTAAAATTTGTTAGATTTTATGATAGAATAATTCATTTTGTAACTTTTTATGTTATTTCACATTAAAAAGTGATATTAGAACGGTCATATAAGAAGTTTATTGACGCCAATCTTTGAAGAGATTATATGCACGATTGTACTGACCTTTTGATTTTGCCGGCAGTAAACTAGTATTTGCCGATAAAGCATTACAAATTTGGGTGGAGTACCCATAAAACATCCTCTTCACTGCTTCTATGTTGTATTTAAACGGTTACCATTTTCATGAGATAAATTTCAATTTTTACAGAAAAAATGTACAGGGTGTTTTCGTATAAATCGAACACCCATTCAAAATCCAGCTTGCATGATTTAAGTAATTTTGTCACAAAATTTTTGTAACAAAAATTAAAAAACAAAAAAGAATCGGTAAAATAAATAAAATAGATATAACATTGTTTTTCAACACCCTGTATAATTTTAAATATTTATATATAGTTTTTTATTAAAATTTCAATTGTATTTGTTTGCATTCAACATTTTATATTAATTGAATCAAAAACCTGGCTTATTTTAACGTAAAAATCATACTTGCTATGGATAAAGAACTCACGTTGTTAAATAACCATGTTTTTATTATTAATTTTTAACAAAACGCTAATATTGTTCCAAACGTCATGCTTATTTTAGGGTAAAAGTTCTTTATCCATGGCATGCGCGTTAAATTTAGCATAATTTTCAGGTCAGTTATTACCACGTTCGGTGTTACAGTGGCTGCTGGTGGATTTTGGGTATACCGATATCTCAATTATTAGATATGGGACCCACATCAAATTTATATGAGTTTATAA